CGAACTAAGATGCTAAATTGACAGAAAAAATAGACTGAAAAGGAGTGAATACTGTACACTCAATAAATAAAAAAAAATTTAACAATCTTTTGTCTTAGATAAAATGGTGCTGTTGATTTGAAGTACATTAGCTGATGTTGTTGAAAAATATAATTATGTTGTTTTTGATGTACTAAAGTAGATTATGTTGTCAAAGTAGATATTGTTGTTAAAGTTTTTGAAGTAGGTACATATACTTACCGATATATAAATAAAGGTTTATTGTGTCTATATAAGGTTAATTGCCTATAAATAGATGGTTACTAGGTAGATGCTGAGTTTTAAGTTGATTTTTGTTGAAGTATACCCTGAAAACTTCTCTTGTCTATGGTTCTACTGACAATACACAGACAACTATATTTTATTGTGATTTCTTAAACAAATTCAATGACATCACAAAAACTAAGGGGCAAGGACACGGCTTTCAAGCAAGTCATGTTATACAATATTAATTAAATGTAATTAATTTCAGGATCACAGCCACGGCTGAGAAAGCTGCTCATATGTTGCACTATTGGTCAGTTTGCTCTGACAGCTTCTAGACTTAACAGAATCGTCCTCATGATGTCTGCAGCCCCTCCAGACATGGTTTTGACCATGGTCATAACCGGGTTTTACCAACTCTCCGACACAGTTACCATGCTTCTACCTCTGATCAACATGAAACATTTCCATAAATGTATCCAACTAGGGAGGAAGGTTATGGCCTCGAGTGGTGGTCGTTTGCCGAAATGTTCACGTGCTTTCTTAAATTTCTTGTTCCAGAACATACAGTGTATTTTAATCATAGCACAATTCAACTTCCTATTAACACGTTTGGGGATTCACAGGTAACTATTACAATTTAAGGATTGATTACAAATCTAAATTAATTTGAATGTCACCTAGGTAGGGTAGTGTTAGCAAATGTTGATTTTTTAAATACAGTACAGTAGATATTATAGTGTAGTCTTTATCTTATGTAAACCATTATCACAATCATTGTATCACTATTGAGACAGAGACCAAATGCTGGTATTTTAATATACAAAAATGAGTTTACAAGGGAGTGAGATGTTTTTTGTATCTTTGTTGTATCGAAGAAAATCTAACAGTTAAAGACACCATGCCTAACATTTTCGAGAGCACCCATTTAGTCCCATAAGGTGGTCCTCAACCTGAATTTTAATTGGCCAGGTGTCCAGAATTCATCCCAGCAAACCTGCGTACGTTAAACCAATTCTGTGATCCTTGTAAATAATTATATAATGAAACAGACACCTAATCACAGAATACGATTCATACTTAGCGGGGGCATAAATTTTCTTTCACAACGATTTATAATACCTACCATGACAAGACTTTTTCCATAGGGGTGGGGACCAACTATAATAGTAGAGAATGAAGTAAAAGACATGACGTTGATTTGATAATATCTGACTTTAGTTAGCTCACTTTTGGCTGCTTGGTGGGGATTTTAATTTACAGACAACCCTGTTATTGTAAACTTAAACAAAATTAAAGTTGTAAAGCTTTTGGAGTGAATTGCACTCATTAACACCACCAGGTACCTTTAACCTATTATGGAAAATATAAGTGTATAATCATCTCACTCCAGTTCTTCATCCCACCAAATGTTTTTTATATTTTGTGTCCGTCTATGTTATTGGCTGTTTTGTAAGGAAACTGCCTAAATCCTAGTCTTGTTACTGTCAAACAGACCTTTTGCTTGATGCATCATAATTTAATTGATCAGCAAAGGGTTCTGGGCCCAGAAACAATCTCACTAGGAATCAAACCATAGCGACCTTCATATTTGAATGCAAGCCCCATAAACTAAACTACCTATTCAATTAATACCACCATCATTAGCCCTAAGTCAAAAATACCCATAGAAGTGTGACCATAAAAAAATTTTGAACAGACTATGTCATAGAAATATGCTATGAGATATTACTGTCTGCTTGAGCACATTGTGTTGGGCAGCTGCTTTTCTACTTATCACCTGAAGAGTCCTTTAATGTAAACTGTGTTAAATAGTCGTTACTCGTTTGGTCTAGATATCTTCACTTTATTCAATTGTAAATCAACTTTTCAGATCGAAATACCAAACTGCTCTACTGGCATTGGAAATATGCAATTGCTTTATCGTGTCAACCACAGTTAACTACACATTTCTAACAGTTTTGAGCATCGCCTCGATGTCCTACAACCAAATCAACCAAAGATTATCAAAATTGTCAAATGGGAAGTTGGAAAAAGATGTGAAAAGTGAAAAAATAGAAAATCTGCGGAGGAAACATTGGAAAACTGGCAACTTGCTTGTTCAAGCTTCCCGTGCATTTTCTTTTAACGTTTTTCTATTCTGCAGCACAACATTCGTTAAAATGACTTTCCTTGTGTACCTCCTGTGTGTGACCCCTGAAATCTGGAGCTCCAAGTTTGCTGAAAATCCTAAAACTTTCATCGCTTTACAACTGACACTTTACTCTATTTGTGGTTTATTGATTGATTTTGTCATTCTGTGCTCTGCTTGTCAGCAAATACTTGATGAGGTTGGTTTTTAAAGTATAATTTACTTAGACTATACTACTTTTGCTACATTTTAGATTAAACTGTAGAGAGAAGTAGTCATTCCACACTCTTGTTTAAATTGTAGCCAATTCTGGAATGAAAATTAACACAGCTAAATTGAGCCTTCGACAGGAAATTAAATTTACTGTAGCACACTCTGTTATGTTCTATTTGAATGAAAAATTGGCTACATACGTTCTATATAGATGTGAACAATTTGATGTACAAGAACACTAGCTCATAAAGATCTTTAGGACAAAAGAGCTAGGCAAACAATTTTATACTTTTCAAATGCTTGTCCTCTAGTTCTAAAAGCCACAGAGAAGTAGAGAAGTGTGCTTTCGGCTCTTGTAACTTGTATGCGTACATAAGCGCTAAGGCTCACAACAACATAGTGAGGGCAAGTAAGAGCTTGAGTGGTGTCATTGTGCTACAAGGTCTTTGTCCAGCATGAGCGTTGTAGTACGATGGCAAGGGGGAAAGGAGTGCTAAAGGGGTTAGGAGAAGCGATCCAACAGTGGTGGTAGGGGCTAGACACCAGCGACTGGGGTTGGACACCAAAACTATTTGTAGACACCAGTGACTAGAGGTTGGCCCCTGAAGTGCACCACTGAATGATTCCTCCGTTTCTTATTTCTCTGTGCTAAAAAACCCAAAGAGTAAACATATTATAAAATCCGCCCTAAAATAAGAGAAAACATTAATTTTATCGGTATTCAGTGTACTCAACCTAGTAATCTTCAGTTTTGACAATAGAACTGTTGCTCAAGTCAAAGTCGGTGGTTTGATTTATATGGTACATTTGCTGGATAAACCAATGTAATGAAGAAAATTAATGTTTCTATTATATCCAACTAGCTGGCCTGACAAATTTCGTCCTGTCCTAATGTGGTTTTATGTCAAATGCTCGTTCATTTTCAAGATGAGCTCGTTCGCATGGCTCAATCACGTCCTGATTAAAGTTCGTTCGCTGCGCTCACTCGGCTTCAGGTTAGCTTGTTCGCTTTGCTAGCCCACCTCTGGGTTGAAGTTCGTTTGCTATACGCTCACTCACCTTTTAGTTGCAACTTAGCTGTTGTCATAAACAAAAAATAATAGTGCTGCACCCTGTTGGTAAACCTATTAAATTTTTAATGCTATTGAACATCACAGAATCAAATTGTTTAGTTGAACCACCTGTTAAGATTCTTTAACACGTTCGCTACTGAGCGTCGCATATATGCGACGCCGCGGTCATTGCCACAGACCGAGGTATACATTTGAATCTTACACATAGACCGGCTGTCACTTGGATAACAGTACACACAGACCACGGGCGAAAACCTGTAAAACAGTGATCATTTACATTGTAATACGCTACAATCGTGTTTGTAAATAAATTATTCTTGGTTTTTTGTATTTTTCATAACCTTTTGTAATGTCGCATATTTGCGACGCCCGGTCTACAGCGAAGACAATAGTGAAAATTATCATAGTTTTCTTGAAATAGACTAAACGTCGCATATATGCGACAGTTCATTTTTTTGTGTTTTAAGGTGAAAGAAAGTAAAAAAATAAACAGATTATTCAAGAACAGTTTATAACTGAACAAATATAAAAGCTACATAGGATAATGCAGCATACATACTGCATACATACATACAGTGATGCAGAAAAGTAAAGACCAGTTTTTCCAACTATTATATGACGTCACCAATCATCATATCCACAGACCAAGCGACGCAGTTGTGCGTCAGACATCTCTGTAGACCACTGCAGGGAATTCAGTGCCTTCAAATAGACTACTACAAAGATATAAGCATTTTAATAACATTAGAACCCCGACGCAAATATGCGTCGGCAGTCTATTTTAATGTGACTAGCTGCCGCATATATGCGACGGCAGTCTATGGGTGGAAACCGGCCGTCGCATATGTGCGTCGCTGGTCCATGTGAATGGAAAATTTCGTACTATTGCAGTAGCGAACGTGTTAATTCCATTTAAATATGATTACTCATAAGGTTAACATGGGAATCCCAGAGCCACTGGGGCTGACCCCTTTTAAGGGATCTGCACCAAACTTCACACAAACCATCCTTGAATAATGCTTAAAAATACCTGAAAGTTTCATTACAATCTGTCAAGCGGTTTCGGAGTCCATAAAGGACAAACAAACATACATTGGATTTTATATATATAGATAATTTATTTTCAAACCACATTTCAGAACCATAAGTTCTTGTGGTTGTTTAAAACAAGGTTTTAGGCGATTTCACATTACAAGATTGGATAAGGAGTTCCACAACTTTATTGATAGTTTAATTTTATGGAATGATTTTTTTATCGTAACAAACTGAAACATACCAGCCTATTTACTTTATAGGTTGATGATTGTATTTATTTTGCAGGGAAATAAAACGCCAGTGAATTTATACCGTATTTTGAGGAAAAGGTCTGATACTTCAGAAAACAGCACAATCCTAGAAGTAGGTATCTTATCTTACTAATATTATAAATCTGAAAGTTTGTGAGTTTGTGTGTATGTTTGTGTGTGTGTTGCTCAATCACGCATAAACTACTGGACGGATTGGGCTGAAATTTGGCATGCTGATAGCTCACATTCCCGATTAACATTAAAGCATATTCTTATCTCAAAAACCCTTTCGGGCTCCGCCCCAGTGGCTCTGTAGTTCCCCATGTTAATCTTATAATTTTTCATATTTAAAAGGAATTAATGAATCTTAACAGCTGTCTCAATTAAACAAGTTGGTTCTGTTCTATGATGTTCAACAGCATAAAAGTTACAAGGATTACCAACAGGGTGCAGCACTATTAATTTAAGGATATCACAAGAGACAGAGTATTCAAAAATTCTGTTTAGTTACTTAGGTGATTATAATCCTTACCTTAACATGTGAAGGTTGCTGATTTGATTCGTTTCCAAGCATAGCAAATGATTGCTTAGCCAGATCAGTGTTGAAGATACCGTAACATCAAATCAAGGTTAAATTTATTACAAATATTTATCAAGTTTTGCATTATTTAAGCATCTTGTATTTAAATGATCAAGTTTAAGATTTTGTTCTGTTACAGATTCGTAAGTTTCTGGTCAACATCAGATCCAGGAACATTACGTTGAATGGTTGGGACTTTTTCTACGTTTCCAAAGCCATATTTTACGGAGTAAGCATACAATATAAACTGATTATTTACTTAATCAATTCACAAAGAAGAAATTAAAAATACTCATTTATTGGAAATTCAGTAGTAATGTAGTTTATATTGTTTAACAATATAACTATATATATTAATGAGTAATATGGATCAAAATTATGATTAATATAAAATCAATATTATAAGCCAAATGACAAACCAACAGATATTCCTGATTCAAGTCTCAATACGTAGTTCGAATTGAGTAGGTAGTATATTTATCTCAGAACTAGTAGATCGAACTTGTACCCTTTGCTTCACAAGAGTGTGCAAAGTTCAAACCTAGTAGATTAATTCTTTAAATCTAAGTGTAAAAACAATGGCAGAAATTTAATATATAACTCCATGTTAAATCAATAGATCATCAAATGCTCCTATGATTATCGAGAACAGAGTAGGTAGTCATAGATTGATAGGGTTTTACGGTTTCCCAAAGAATTCATACTACATTGATTATCTTGGTCATAGTAATGGAACATCTTTTTGTTTTTATGAAAACCGATGATGCATAATATACATTTTGTCTGTTTCAGGTGGTTTCACAGATTGTTTCTTATATAATTTTGCTAATTCAGTTCAAAATATTTCAGTAGTTGTAGATTTACAAGAAAACTAAACTAGTGACGATTTATGTACCAAAAATAATCTGTTGTATTTTTTTATAACATCATTCGTGAAATATTTGTATTATTCTACTCTTATAATTTGAAAGCTAATAACAATTATAAATGATAAACCATAAATTGTATAATAGTTACAACTTTAAAAATAGTTAGCAATATATTTGTAAGGTAGTCCACGAAAACAAGTGGGTAGCTTGTTGAAGAAAATATGTTGGATGTAAAAATGGCTTTTTAAAGTTTTTGAAAGTCTGATTTGAGGTGTGACTAGGTTGTTTTTGTGCCTCGTGTTGTATGGATGAGAATAGCTAGAAAATTGTAAGGGGTTGTTTTTTTTTTAATTAAATTATAAAGAATGTTCATAGATGGCAGTGTAAGCAAATTTAAATTGGAAAAGTGATCCCTACAGGATTCATGATCTTGCAATCCTAGCATGGCTCTAAGAGCTTTCTTTTGCCAAACAAATGCTTTCTGAGCCAAATGTGAACCACCCCAGAGACGCAAACCATAAAGCAGCTGTAAGTGAAACAAACCGTAGTAAGTCATTACCAAAGTGTTAAAACTCACACATGATTTAAGTTTTCTCAAGAGACAGGTTATTCTAGCCAATCTTTTACAAAGTTGTGTAATGTGGTTATCCCAGCTTAGTCTGTTGTCAAGATGGATGCCTAAGATGTTTGTGACCTTTATGTAGATTGAGGAGGGTTATGTTTGGTTTTAAAGTGAGGTTGTATACGTTTTGTAAAATATTGCTTAAAGTTTAATTTTTTTATTGATATAGTAAGCTACATGTGAGGGGGCTTGACTAAAATTAAAGAATTATAGTAAAACATCTCATTCATGAAGCATCAATATGAAGCAATTGATGCTATTGCTACACTAAGGTATGTTGTCATATTCTTATGGATCTATTAACATCAAAAGTAGGGGTTTGAAAGTAAGTAGGTTTACACTTTTAAATCAGTTTATATATTTTCAAACTAAATCATATTCAAAATTATATTATATATTCGAACAGAGGCCAACCTCTGGGGACCTCAAAACGAAAAAGTATATCACTCCTTGGTCCAGGTCTTACCATGAGTACTACGGTAATAGCTTATTCTCCCTATATGGGAAATTTGCTAATAAACATTGCATAAACTTTATATAAACCAAATAACAATAATAATAACATTCAAGATATTTTATAAACTTAATAACTCTAAATAGGTAAATTACAAAAAAGTGTGATCCTGTATCAACTAACAGTGGGTCTTCAATAATTAATTTAAACCTGATCATAGTATGACTGAAAATGACAAGGTCATGCCACAACACTGACCACATATTTTACTTTCTACCAGAAATTCAATACAATAGTTGTGTATTCATGCTCTAAAACAAGTTTAGAACAGACACTATTTGACGTCCCGGTAATACAAAGTTCTTCATTTGGTGTGATGGATTCTGCGATGGACATAACTTTTCTGCATTCTGTTTTGCCATTGCCAATCTCCCATACCTCTTGAAAGCGTTGATCATTGTATCCATGCAACAAAATAAATCTTCCAGCCAACATTTCAGTAAAAAGAAGTTGAAAATCGACCCTCAATAGGCAACTGGTTACTAAATTGACAGGATTTACAAGGTATATTTCTTGCTCGGTAGTTATCAGTAGGTTACTGCCTAGGGGATGAACAGTGGTTTCAGGACATGTTTTTATATAATCAGGTAGTAAAGATGTGCTTGGTCCAGTTTTATACTGGTTCATTGCATCATGATGATGTACTATCTCGAGGGGATGATAGTCATCTATGACACTCAAATGGCCATCAAAAAACAACACACGTTTATCATGCATATAAGAATCGTGAACAAACCGACTGGGCAGGATAAACTGTAACAGTGAAGTATCATAAATAATTGAGCAACACTTTCCCACATCATTTCCTATGTTAGCGACATGTTTTAAACAGTAGGTTACGAGGACCTTTTCAGTGACTTGCTGAGTAGACTGTAAAGTTATACTTTCTATTGGTCCGATTTCGTATCTGTCTTCTTTAACCTTTTTCCCCGTATTGACGTCCCAAATGTGCAAGAGAGCAGATTCCCCATGTTCATAGGTTCCAATCATGTATTGCCCACTAAAAACAAACTTACAATGAAACTCAACCTCTGGAAATTCACTAATTGTTGAGACCACGATACTTTCAATATCACAATCAGCTGTTAAACTACGAGAGAACTCTTCCGGTTTATCAAAAAAGAAGAGATGTTTCCGAACCCAGCTTTTGGAATCCAAGCTGATTTTGTTAACTTGTACTACATTACACTGAATGACAACTATCAGATCGCTATTGACTATTTTATAAATTTTAGCTTCCCGCAATCCACTCAAACAGTGGGGTATAGTCAATACTAGGACTGGAGTCTCAGCTAAATTCCAAACTCGAGTCTCATATGTTCGACCTTCATCATGGGTATATCTGTTTTCACATATATGGTCATTGTCCAAAAATAATACATAAGGAAACAGAAAGCGGCAGCGCTCATCTTCATGTTCAATTACTTCCTTCCTGAAGCGACCACATCTAACATTTTGAAATAAGTGTTGCTCCTGCAAGAACTGAAGCCGGTTTTCTTCAATGGGCATAAGTGTGTCGTTTGTTAGTTGAAAAGCAGGTTCAACAAGGCACTTAGTTTTTGAAAAATAGTGATTTGAGCTAGTTATACAATGTCTTTTCCAAAATAAATTATCACTAAAAATACTGTACCATATTCTACAAACGCCCATGCAATTGCTTAAATCTTTTTCAGAGAGAAAAGGAACAAGTGCATCTAGAACTAATAGGGGCAAATGCTCAATGTCCAGTGCTTTCCCCATGTCATGGAATCTGTAATAGGAAACAAGTGTTAATTAAAAAATACTAACAATATATTTACTCACACATAACGAGCCATCAAGTTGACCCTTAGAGAAATCTCAATAGGCCTAAATGTTAAGAATTTATCCTGGACCTAGTTGCCATTTTTCATCATATATTTTAAAGCTATTGTTGATTTCTAGACTTACGAGACTACGACAGACATTCAATTATTGTACAAAAAACACATGACCTACTCATGATGTGAGCCCTGATGATCATGAATAGCCAGCTGAAGGACGGTTGTTGAGCCTACTCTTTTTATATATTTTATGTCATTATTATTGTTGTTGTAACTCGTTAGCGCATTTGCTGTTTTTTTTTTTTTTTTAAACAGTTGCAAATAAAAATCTTTAACATTATTTTGTTTTCTAGCTTAGTTTGTTAATTACTGATGCAATATGAAAAGTATATAGTTCACCACATGGACAAATAGTATATTTCATAATAAGAGTAGAAAGTGAGTCATTACATATCTGAGACCATGTTTGAAGTTCGAGATTTATCGAGCACTTTAATTGGTCAAGAATATGTATGGACCCACTTTCACTTGTGTTTTGAACATTACTTTTCGCTACACTTCAAAGAATAATTATTTTCTTCATTACAAAACTCATAGCATTTTTTTAGGTTATGCCGTTATGCCTTCAATTAAAAGTTAATATTTACTTTAGTTGTTGAAAATTGAAACAGTTGATAAAACAACAAATATAGGTTTCTGCATTTACAAAATGTTTACAAACTGTTCACAAACTATTTACTATTTACAATTATGTTCAGATAATGTTGTCCAACTCACGCTGGAGATGAATATCAAACCTAAAATAATTGTGATACTGTATTATTAAGTACAGGCCTACACTTTGTTTGAGTATAATAGTACTCAATAGAGTATAATCTTCACAGAGAGTCCGATATTATTGTTACTTAAGCTTGATATATATATATATTGTTATTATTGTTTAGTTATACTTCAATTGTTAATTGTTGTATTTTCTTTTTCTCTCAAATATTTTTTTGTAAAGTGGCATGTACCATTGGAAGCATAAATAAATAGAATAAATAAATAGCTTAGAATAAATTATGTATATTTAAGTTTATTTAAAAACTATTCACAATACTGTTCAAAAACTATTTACAATTTGCTAGGTACTATGTTCTCCAGATTCACACATGAGCTGAATGAATGTTCCACAAATTTGTTATGTTAACAAGTACAGGCAAGGCCACACTAAAAAAAACATGCTGTAATGCTCGTCTAGCATGACGTCACGATAGAAGATGGCAATGACGTAATGTTTGCCGTTTGTGATCAGCTGCATGTTTTAATCTTTTCATCGAAAACAAAAATATAACCTTAATTACGTCATTGCCGTCTTCTATCGTGACGTCATGCTTGACGAGCATTACAGCCTGTTTTTTTAGTGTGGCCTTGGTACAGGCCTACTTTTTGTTCTAGAGTAATTTACAGTTTTCAGATCAAGATATATATCTAAGAGTATTTACAAATTATTTAAACTGCTGTTCACTGACTATTTACAATTATATACATAAAACTGTTGGTTCTCATAAGAGCTGGAGGTGATACCATTTCCCTGAAAAGAAAATTCGATTAGCACCATGCCGTTGTCATTCTAATCTGTATGAATGAATACAACTAAAGTTTGGTCTGAACGTTGGGTAGGTTTGTGATGTTTTTTCTTTCATTATTTACGATATAACTGACCAAAAGATAACCGTCCAAACGGGCTCACAGCTAGTTATTGATAATATCAAATCATAAGTGTTTTTGTTAAGCCGACTTCAGCTTATGAAAAACTGAAACCAGTGTAAGTAATCGTAAATATATATTTCATCTAAAAACTATGTTTTATTCTCAAACAAAGTGTAGGTCTGTACTTAATAATACCACAATGAATTTGGACAACATTCTCTGAACATAACTATAAATACTGTACTAAATAGTTTGAAATTGTAAACAGTAGCGTAAATAGTTTGTAAATACATTAACCTTAAATATATACCTTGTTCTAAAACTGTCTATTATTTTAATACCAAATGTATACAGTACCTAATATCATTGCAATTATTTGTTTTTTAGGCTCAATACTATTGTTATTTGATGCGGATTACAAAAATGATGTTATTTAATACACTTTATGGTGATATACAAAAATTGTACCAACTATGCATTGAGCCCAGTCGGTGCTCATGGTCAAAACCCAGAGCAGCCGAGCCAGGGCTAATTTAGGGGCTGGGACACCACCCGACCGTCCTAATCCCTCAGCCGCCACGAATGTTTGCGGAAGGTATAGGGGATATTATACCAAAAGTCCCTATAAATATGAGGCAAGCTCTAGCGGCAATTAGTGAAAACAGGGCACCTTTTTTAGTTTTTGGCTTAAATATCGAGAACCATTGGTCGGAATTAAAAGTGACTGTATACCAAAATGAAAGATCATTAAATTTTCAACAAAAATGATACCTACACTTTTATTTTATTCCTAATGGTTACCAAGTAATTGGGCGCTAAAATATGGCGTTTTTTTTTCTCAACAAAATACCTACTTTAGTTTGCACCATTGTTCGCTCCCTCGACAGTTATTGAAGAATAAACCCTATATTTTAGCATCATATAACTCGGTAACCATTAGGAATAAAATAAAAGTGAAAATATAATTTTTTTTTTGTAAATTTAATGACCTTTCATTTGGTAAATAGTCACTTTTAGTCAACTTCGACCAACGGTTCTCAAGGTTTTAGCCAAAAATAAAAAAAGGGGTCCTGTTTTCGCTAATTGCTGCTAGAGCTCGCTTCATATTTATGGGAACTTTACTTTTGGTATAATCTTCCCGAGGTACCTAGAAATAAGTGTCCAAAATTTAAAAACTTTCGGATTTTTTCGGAGGTTAAACTTTTTTTTGACTGGACTAACATCTTTTGTCATGGGTAAGGTGGGAGCAACTATATTTTATTGGGAAGAATCACAAAAGTTGCAGTAACTTTTGAACTGTAATTTTTACAGCAATTGAGGGCTATACTATTTTGATTAGAATTACAGTATAATAACCATAACATAGTGTTTAAAACTGGCTTTTTTTAATCCAATTGTTTGTTACTCTATAGGTTTTTATGGGAAAATATCATGAGTTACAAAAACTTTTTAACCCTAACTTTTACAGCAATGGGTATTGTAACGTTTTGTTCAGAATTTAAAGGGATCAAACTTCACAAAAATTTTATGAAAATTGCTCAGGCCATTTTTGAGAAAATTAAATTTTTCCGATTAATTTTTTGGGTTTTTATGCGAATATCACAATTAAAAATCATAAAAATCAAAATTTAAAAAAATAATAAAACGCCAGGAGAGACCATTGATTAGTACCTACATATACCAAAAATCATCAAAATCGGACTGCAGGTGTGGTCTATAGCTCTGTGTACACAACCACACATACAGACAGTCAGACACACATACACACACGGACATCACTTCGAAAACCATTTTTTGGGTTGAGGGGGGCCCAAAACATATATAGGCCTATCCACTCAAAACTTAAACTCAAAAATGTTGACGAAAACAATACTTTCTCCATTGTAGGGGGAGAAAGTAACTGATATTGTGTTCACTACATATTGTACACCTAACATTGTAAGGTCAGCTAAGCTGGTTAACCGTGCAGTGTTGCGGATCACACTGTCCTCTTGAATACTGATATTGTGTTCACTACATATTGTACACCTAACATTGTAAGGTCAGCTATAGTCCGGCAGCTAAATGAGGATTTTGTCCCTAACCTGGTTTTGTTCTATTAAGTTTATTTTATTCTTGATTTGAGTTATATAGGGTATGTAGACCATAAAACCACCGGGTACTTTTTTGGTACCCTTGGGCAATAGCCGCCATCTTGGAAAATGGCGGAAAACGTAATTTTACATGTAAGCTTTTACTTAAAACTATGTAATGAAAATACCATGCTATCTACAGCAGTGCGAACGCTTTTAAAATACTAACAGTGAAATTCCATGCAGGAAAATATCACATTTTAATTATATATTGTGTGTTTTAAAGTCAGTATATCTTTTTAAAGTTAACAATTTAGATAAAAAATATGTTCTATCCCCACTTTTTTCAACTTTGTGCCAAAGTCTCTTAAAAAAGGCCATGATACATGTTACAACAGTTGTAGATATTGAAATTGTGCATCTAATGCACCGACAGGGATCTTTGTTGGATCAAGGATAACGTCACAACAAAGCGTAAAATATATATTTTTTTCTATTATAAAGAGGGTTATCTAATAAATGAGAATAATTTATATAATTCTTCTTAAGACTATTCTGTAGTTCTTTTCTACGGTTTTTTTGTATCAAAATGCTCGATAAACAAACGGCTTTCATTTACGCTCAAATCTTAGGATGTTTTATAAGCTAGTTATGGACCCCCCCCAAAAAAAAGTAATTTTAGTTATAAAAAAGTCTCATCAAAGCCCTATATTTTTAGTGATTACAGTATTATGTTATGTTTTATGTTTTCTTATAAAAACAGTCAGTAACGTACTGGCTTTCATGGAATATATTGATACACATTTGGATCACGCTTTTTTATTGTTGATATTTAATTTTGGTAGTATTTAGATGCATCAAATAGCGGGCACTTACAAAGTACCTTTGGGAAACTTCTAGAACTCGAGATAATAATTGTCTATATTTAAAAGTAATTCGATTTTAAAACATGGTAATTAAGCTATAAACTATGCATTTTTAGTTCGAATATCATGAAATTTAGTATGAAACCTCGTCATAATGTTACTCATTAATTTACCAGATATTAGCCATATCATTCAAGATTTTTCAAAATGTCGGCGGAAAACGTGGTTTTTATCTTAAAAATTTCATTTTTTGTCCAATTGAAAAAGAAGTTGGCATACGACCTTGTTTTAGTGTTACCTTCTTTGAGTTAACTAGCAAGACACATTCTTTACATCATTGTTATGGAATGTAATAATAATACTTAACTTTCAAGTTTGCTGAATTCCCGTTGCACTTGTGGCTATGCTTGTTAGTATTTGCGATAAATTGAAAAAGACAATATGTAAAAAAAAATCGATTTCAACATAGTTGACTTTTATTATTTTGTATTGTAACATAAATATTTAATTCACATAAAATTGTAACTTACATAATAGGCTTATATGTAAAAACTTGTTAATAACGTTTCAGTAACCTTAGTGACTATTAGCGAATTTCTCTATAGAAAAGTAACTATTACCGTAGGTCTCATGGTAAGGACTGGGCCCGGGACTGATTAACTTTTTCATTTTGATACCCCAGAGGCCATGATGTCCGTAAAGACGATAACTTGAGTAATTTTTGTCTGATTTCGATAACATTTGGTTTGAAGGTGTAAGATGGGATAAAATTAAATGATTCCGCGAACCAGCATGATCGGACCCTGGGAACGGGGTTTAGGGGCGGGGGGTTTGATGGGGTAAAAATGGGGGTTTCTAATTGTTTACCCATAAAATACAAAATGTATAAATTTTTCTCTAGACTTTTTTACCAAGTGTTTTTGTACGGTTATTACGGAGAAAATTAAAAAAAAAGTTCCTTTTAAATTCCCATGTTGTTTTTATGAAGAATATTGCAAAATTTGTAGTTGGCTTGTTTTTGGATATATTTTGATCAAACTTGAGAGATTTATTTATTTTATACTAAGCTATAAATATTTTAATAAAAACACACTTGACTAGTTTCCCTGTAGCATCAAACCTAGGTACTCGTTAAACATAAATGTTAATTTAATAAATTATTTGAAAATCTATCCAGGGAAATGGAAAATGTAGACGGCAGGTTTGCTGCAGCGGGGCTATTAACTCATTATTCTACATTGTCGTAGTCTTCACTGTCGTCTTGAGTTTGTCTTTTTCCATTTAAACAGGTATTATACCCACAATGGCAAATTATTGTGCAAGGTAAGCCTGAGCTCACACAACTACATCTTTTTAATTCTGTTCACTGGTGTATATCAAACGCAACAAAAAACAACTTGATAGGAATAAACCAGATTAGGTTCATATCTGAGTTTACCCATAGTTTACTGAGGTTTTCTTCACCAAAATGAACAACACAGCTCATTTAAAGCTGGAAAGAGCGTAGCGTGAAGTTGTGCAGGAAACTTTCTTTTTAGGGAAATAATGAGAGAGTGAGGCCCTGGAGCCCTTTAAAGTTTCGTATTTCTCCATAAGATTAACATTGGAAACAAAAATTGTTATGAAACTCCAGCTGTTGTCAGAAATCAAAAGTGAGAAGAAGAGCATAGGTTAATCCTAAACCGTCAATAAGTTTGCTAATATAGTATTATAACAGTTTGCTACAAATATTTACTTAGCAATTGCTCGAATTCGAGCAACAGGGACACTAGTAGATCTTAAATCAAAGACAGTCCTTAAAAATTGAAAACCTGATGCTAGTTAGAGTTCTACATCTCACCTTAGACTTTATATATTTAAAAGAAAATTGTCTCAAATGAAAGTTTTAAGTTGACATAGTGTTTTTAGATCAGAACGAAAAACATAGTATACATAGCAGCTGAGCTGTATGTCTTTAAATACAGAAGAAAGTTAAGAAAACCAACTCTTATTCTACGTTTAAGCTTATAACTCGCCCCAAAAACGTCAGATTTCAATAAATAATGGCTCAAAAGAACTAAATTAATTCACTGAGTATTCTCATGCCAAAACATACAATATTACATAAAAATAACTCAAGACACAATCATTAACTAAAGATAAATTGTAAAAAAATCTATTTTTTTGGTTGTTTGGGGGTCCACAACTCATACTCAACTCAACCGATTTTAATAGTCAATGGCTTCAATTAAAGCCAGTAACTCGCTGAGTATTTCTAATACATAACATTTCATGTAACATAATTACAACCGGAGATAAGATCTTTAATTAAAGACAAATCCTGGAAAAACTCAAATGTTAGTTGGTTAAAGTTCTATAAATCCCCTCAAACCCGATAGATTTGAATGACCAATGCCTCAAATGAAAGCCAGTAGTTTGCTGAGTATATTATTATCGAAAAATATAACATCTCACAATTAGTACTCGAAGTAACAATCTTTTATTCAAAGAAAATTATACAAACATTAAAATCTTTGTTGGTTGAAATCCTGTAATTCACCTCAGACTCGTTCAGTTTCAATGATCTTCATATCAAATGGAAGCTAGTTGTTTACTGAGTGTTTTATCGCAATATAAACAACATCTAATAATAATAACTCAATGGGTTGGTCAAAATTTGAACTTTCCTTTATGAAAAAATATAGTTACTTTGCAGTGGAGAAGAATAGATCAGCCTTAAAGTCCTTAAATATAAATAGGTAATAGTTAAAATGAAATTTGGTAATTTTACAAACATTTTAATACATAAAACAGCCAGTGAGAAGTACCGGATGGTCCCAGGAAAGATGTTACAATTTTATTGAACATATAAAATATCCGTATTTTTCATTGAAAATCAACAAATAATTTATTTTCTAACGCTTTGTTCTGACGTTACCCTTGATCCAACAAAGCGTCCGATAGATGTATTCGATGCCAAATTTAAAAGTCTACAATTTTTATAATGCATATTATAGTCACATTTTGAGTAATTAAGGCGCAAAATTGAAATAAAAAGAAATATGTCATTATGTTTTTATAAATTATAAACTTTGAAAAGTAATACTGACCTTGAATCAAATTATATATATTTAATATATGGTATTTCTGAGTACCAAATTTAACCATAAACGTTTAAAAACAACTTGCATTGCTCTAGATTAAATAGTTTTTTAATTACATTGGTTTAAGTAAAAGCTTACACTGTAATTTACGTTTTCCGCCATTTTCCAAGATGGCAGCTGTTGCCCAAGGGTACCAAAAAAGTACCCGGTGGTTTTAGAGTCTACTAACTCTAGATATCACATATCAACAATAAAAAAAACTTAATAGGACAAAACCAGGTTCGGGTCAATTCTGCCGGACTACTAAGCTGGTTAACCGTGCAGTGTTGCGGATCACACTGTCCTCTTGAATACTGATATTGTGTTCACTACATATTGTACACCTAACATTGTAAGGTCAGCTAAGCTGGTTAACCGTGCAGTGTTGTGGATCACACTGTCCTCTTGAATACTGATATTGTGTTCACTACATATTGTACACCTAACATTGTAAGGTCAGCTAAGCTGGTTAACCGTGCAGTGTTGCGGATCACACTGTCCTCTTGAATACTGATATTGTGTTCACTACATATTGTACACCTAACATTGTAAGGTCAGCTAAGCTGGTTAACCGTGCAGTGTTGCGGATCACACTGTCCTCTTGAATACTGATATTGTGTTCACTACATATTGTACACCTAACATTGTAAGGTCAGCTAAGCTGGTTAACCGTGCAGTGTTGCGGATCACACTGTCCTCTTGAATACTGATATTGTGTTCACTACATATTGTACACCTAACATTGTAAGGTCAGCTAAGCTGGTTAACCGTGCAGTGTTGCGGATCACACTGTCCTCTTGAATACTGATATTGTGTTCACTACATATTGTACACCTAACATTGTAAGGTCAGCTAAGCTGGTTAACCGTGCAGTGTTGTGGATCACACTGTCCTCTTGAATACTGATATTGTGTTCACTACATATTGTACACCTAACATTGTAAGGTCAGCTAAGCTGGTTAACCGTGCAGTGTTGCGGATCACACTGTCCTCTTGAATACTGATATTGTGTTCACTACATATTGTACACCTAACATTGTAAGGTCAGCTAAGCTGGTTAACCGTGCAGTGTTGCGGATCACACTGTCCTCTTGAATACTGATATTGTGTTCACTACATATTGTACACCTAACATTGTAAGGTCAGCTAAGCTGGTTAACCGTGCATTGTTGCGAATCACATATCGTCCTGTTGCATATATATACTTACAGCAATCCAGGTTTTTCAAATACGCTGAACTGGTTTTGCAAATGAGTCATCTCATTGTGTAGCTCAGTGAGCACTAGTAGAAGCAAACATTCTTTTTCATCTGACAATTGCTCCTGAATGTCTTCTATCTCTCTGAGGACGTTGCGGCCCTTTGATATCAGTGTGAGCACATTGTAAGCCACCTCGTTAGGAACCTTACATTCCATCAACTCAAACTGTCTGAAATCAGTTAGAACATTGGTTTCCTTAAACATCCACTATTAGCATGCACATCTTACAACCATAATCTTCGATTAGGCAGCCCAAGTTTCCCAGGCGAGTAAACGAGCCTATAACAGCCTTGTCTCCCTAAGTAAAAAATCTCTTCTTTTCACTTGCTTACATGATAATTTTCTGTCAGCATTTAGTCCTCTTTTGAGACCATTTATGACCATTCATTTATTTGATATTATGAAGTCTTACCTTAGCAATCCTGTTGTGATACAATGAAATCGATTTCAAACCCGAAGGTTCATCGTCAGTCGGGATCTAGGGTGACCAAATTGAAAAATTGCATCCACGTGAAGGGTTTTGTAGAATATGAGATGACACTGAGTACCTTACAATTACAGTAGACGCGAAATTGACCCATAAATTACAAAAACCATAGTTTTTTTAAATATGGGTTAACCCCACTTTGCTTTGCATATTTGTATTATATCAAATTATACAAACCCTTTGGGTGGATACAATTTTTTGAAAATTGATCAACCTACATCCCGACTGACGTAGACGTGTGGGGGGGGGGGGGCACAGTGGAATGTGACCCTCAACTTTTAGGAATCTTATATATTTAAAAAAATTGGTTTTTCTTTTGGGAGTTTGTTTGGTTCTTCTACCCGACCGAGTTTCATGATTGAGGTCTCGAATTGTAGGTATGCACGCACAGATTTGCCATCAAGCATCGGCATATATTTATCTATAATCCCACTCGGTGTATACGTAAACGAAATTTGCTACCCATGTATTTCTTATGGGAGTTAAATTTGGGTTTTCTTTGCCAAGTTCGTTTGGCTCTTCTACCCGACCGAGTTTCATGATTGAGGTCTCGAATTGAAGGTATGCACACACAAATTTGCCATCAAGTATCGGCATATATTTATCAATAATTCCACTCGGTGTATACGTAAATGAAATTTGCTCCCCATGTATTTCTTATGGGAGATAAATTTGAGTTTTTTTTCAAGTTCTTTTGTCTCTTCTACCCGGCTGATTTTCATGATTGAGGTCTCGAATTGAAGGCATGCACGCCAAGTTTTCACATAAAGCATCGGAAAATATTTATCTACTGTATTACTTGACCAAAACACATCATTTGATTTATTTCTCTAATTCTTACTTCAATTTAAGATGTACCTTCACTAGTTATAATTTTATGTTATCTCCAGGAGTTTTTTTTTCATTTTTTTTATTTTTAATTTTCATTTTCCCATAAAAACCCATAAAATAAAGGAAAAATCTGATTTTCTAAAAAAAAGCTCGAACGATTTTGATAAAAATGTTGTATGTTGTAGCCCTTTAAATTCCGAACAAAATGATACGACTTCCATGTCTGTAAAAATTACAATTCAATATTTAAAGTAAATTTTGTTATTTTTCCATAAAAACCCCCATAAAAAAAGGAATTTAGAAAAAAAGCCGGTTTTGTTTTAAATTAGTACCTATGTTATGGTCCTTAAAACTTTGAAAGTTTTTTTTAATTTTTTGAAATTTGATTTTAATGGGGATTTTCCCATAAAACCCCATAAAATTACAAAAAATCTGATTTTCTCGAAAATAGCCTGAACGATTTTCTTAAAAATTTAGTATGTTACATTCCTTTAAATTCTGAACAAAATGGTGCAAATTCCATTTCCGTAAAATTTACGGTTCAAAATTTACTGTAACTTAGGTATGTTATCTTCCCATACAAACCATAAAATAACAAAATAATTGGATTTTTGGAGAAAAACTAGTTTTGATGAAAATTGATATGTTATGGTCCTTATAATTAAAAAAAAAATGTACAACACCCCATTTCTGTAACAGTTATGGTTCAAAAGTAATTGCAGCTATTGTGATTTTTAACTATATACTATCACCGCTTACCCATGATGATAAAGGTTCAGAATGCTGATGACGTTTATTTATTTCAATGCCATTTGAAGTTTCATAAAATGTCTATGGTAATGCAATCTTTGGTGGTTTTTTATTAATACAGCATATTTGACGGAAAAACACAAAAATTCTGTCATGACCATAACAAACGTAAAAATGAATATTGACAATAGTTAATGGTATTTATATAAATATGTTTTGCTATAAATAGGTTTAGTTTTAGGGCCATTTTGCAATAAACAGCTCTCTAAGCTTTTGGTATTTCTGAAAAAAATATTTAAACACATAATAATAATATACACAAATACAGTATATTCAAAGTAAAAAGCCAGGGACATTAAAACGTAAGCTTCAAAATTTTTACTCTTGTATGTAAGCAATCCAGAGGCTAAAATGATTGATGATTTACTTATTGGTCTTCCAACGCTTCTATTTTGAGCCAGACTTTTCCTACTCTTCATTGATTCATTTTTTCTGAGACCATACTAACAAAGTCTTGCACTTTTACATCGAGAAAGGGAGAATTATACTGTACTTAGATGGATAGTAAATTTATTTAACATGACAGCCCTACGTAAGACCGCTTAGATAATTGTTGATAGATGTTAACACAACATAGGAACCACAGTGAGTACAAGTTAGATACAGTAGAACCTTAATAACAAGACTCTCATGGGGATTATAAAATAATACTTGTTTTCAAGGTTGTCTTCTTATCAAGGTTTGCAATAACATGTGATTAGGGGTAAAATAAATTCTAGGGGACTTAAAGATGACACTTGTAATCAAGGGTGACTTGTTATCGAGGGTCTTGTTATCGAGGTTACACTGTATATACATGCTTTAAAACCAGCATACTGTTACATGCATTCTTGCAAAGGCTAATCAACTAAAAATCTCGGTGATTATAGCCCATTTTTTTCATAAAAATGTTTACGATTTGTCTTAATTTAATTGTAGTTTTGAAATGCATTACATTTTTTATTACATCTTTCCAATACCATTGAAAATTATTGCCGTCCTTCATTTTATGAGCTATGTTTACAAAATCAGCCAGTTTTCAATTGCGTAGCTTATGCCTTCAATTTTTTAATAAGTTAAAGATAAACCGCTTGCTCCTGCATCAAGTGATTGCAACTGTGATGTTACTACACATTTTCTAAGCTTTGTAAACTCTAAGTTTTAACTTTTGGTCAACTTACAAGTAGAGTCTTCCCTCTAAGTGAGAAGTGACCCATGAGTCGGAATCGTCATAATTCTCATCCCAAGGCATCCATAAGTGGTTGTAAAAAAATCTGAAATTTTAACAAAAATCTTGATTTATTACAAGCATTGAATTTTAGATATTGAAGTAGACATCCCATCGATATGGACCAGCTGTAGCAAATATTTTACTAAAAAAGAACGTTGTTGTGTGAGCCAGTCACAAAATGTTCAAAGCCTAAAATTCTATTTTATACCTTATTTTTTGTTGCTGACCAGGTTGATGGGTCAGTTGCTATAGCTCACTTATAAGTCATTCCCTAAGTTCAACTTGTTAAAAAAGTTTGTGTACTCGACATAATATATTAATTTAGATCAGCACAATCTGAAGGTGGCTCACATCAACTGTAATTTTGATAAAAAACCTGGCTAGAAATTTAACATGGGGATGGAATGTCTACTTAAAAGTCAAAGATTACAAGTAACAATTCAGAATGTAAAAACAAAATTTATTTCCAATTAAAAGATCTTTACAAATATTTAGGATCACAACCATGTTTAGTGGCGGTCCCTGGATTTCATTTGGGGGGGGATGACCACAGAGGGTCTGGAATATCCCCCCAAAAAAGGGGAGTCAGGGGGGGGGGTCCTTCCCTCCAGAAAAATGTGGCATTGAAAGCCTAAAAACATATTTCTATACACATTTGAGCTCTAGAAATATGCTCAAACTAATAGTATATTTATGTTTAGCTAATGACGGAGGGTGAGGACAATTGGACCTGTGTGTCACATTATATCCAGGGTATTCTCCGCGCCAAGAAGATCGACCTTGACCGGGATGCGGTGTAGGTCATTAAGAATCTAAATGCCAGAAACGGTGCGAGCCCTGAGGGCTTAGGTCACATGTTGGCCTGTCTTGAAGTAATGTGACAAACAATTCCAGGTCTGTGTCCAACAGAGTAGAGGGGGTTTTTTAGTGAGTAGTCTGATAATTTTCAGGAGTCTCACACTACAGGCTGGCTACCTGTGTGTGTAAAAGCATTTTCCCTCCTCTCCCTAAGAAAAAAAAAAAAAAAAAATGTTTAGCTAATAAAATATAAAATATTTCGGGGGGGATATATGCCTCCAATCCCCCTCTGGGACCGCCACTGACCATGTTTTATCTAGAATAGGACAACATTGATTTGAACATTGATAGAATTGACAAACAAGGTCAATCTTACCTGAGACTATCAATAGCCTTGGCTGTGTCGAAAAGTTTTTCAACCACATTATTTTTATCCTGTTCAATTGTCGGATATAATTCTATCAAAGGAATATCAGTCATCCTTAAAGGAAGGCAAGCAACTCCATCTTCAACTTGATTGATTTGGACAGTACACGACAATTCTTTAAAGTTAATAAGATCGACCTGCAAAAATGTTGGATTTCAAAAACAGTTTTAATGGATAAAATCACTAATGTAGACCTAATGTTAAGAAAGGATTCAATTCAATTCAATTCAATTATTTAAGATGGGGACGCCACTATGTGCGTATTTTAACCCAAATATGAGTGAAGGGTGAGTGTAGGATGATTCAAACAAAAGTAGATAGAAATCTCAAGCTTAACACTAAACTTGGTGGAGTGGTATACACTACGTACAGTTACAGGAATAACTGTTCTGAAAAATGTTTTCGCTCTTAAAGATTACTGTTATTTAATGGGATCAACTAACCCAGCGATAATGAGGCCTACCTTGACTCCAAATAGATTCTACAGGGTTGAAATGACCAATACTAAAAAATACAAATTGGATAGGTCCATTTAGGGAAAAAATGGCTCTCTGAAAAGATATCTGAGGCTCTGACGGCAAGGAAGACGGAAAATCATCCAGCAAATCCAAATGAAGAACAACCTCTCCCACCTGGCACCAAGTCTTTGTTGGGATATTTTACACTACTCATGATCAAAATCCCCAAACAAAAACTACCAACACTAGACCGTCAACCATAGAACTCTCACCAACAAACTTTAGTTTTTATCACTGTAATGTCCGGTCAATGATGTTGAGATTTAGTAATATATCTCTAATCATGTTTCTAAGTCTGTGATTAATATTAATTAATGTTTTAGTAACAGATGATTTGTGAGTCTTTAAGTTGAATTTGAATAAACAACATCATTCAGGTTTTTGTTAAAATAACTTTTTATAGTTTTCTAGTTAGTGATAATTTGTAGATTGTCGGAATATTCAACATGGTAGCAGAAATGTCCAAAAAATACTCCTTTGGAAAGCCTTTCAAAGTACTAATACCAGATAGGAAGGATTGGTCTGGCGGAAAAGGACCCATACCCACAGGTGACTTAGAATGCTATACTGATGGTTCTAAGATCAAAAATGGGGGCACTGGAGCAGGTGTGCATTGGATGAATGGAGGCACTGGTATTTGTCTTCCAATGGGGGTGTACCCAACTGTCTTTCAAGCGGAGGTCACTGCCATTCTAGTTTGTGCTCAAGAACATCTTAACAAAGATATCAGAGACAAAACAATCAATATCTTTACTGATAGTCAAGCGACCTTAAAAGCATTAAACTCTTACGAATTCAACTCCAGGCTCGTGTGGGATTGTCTTGCTTCTGTGTCTGAGTTGGGTAGGAGAAATGACCTTACGCTTTGCTGGGTACCAGGACACTCAGGCATTGAAGGAAATGAAGCTGCAGACAGATTGGCAAATACTGCCTCTGCGACATCATTGTTAGGCCCGCAACCCTTCTGTGGCATCTCACGAAACAGTGTATGTTCTGCGATTGCGTCATGGGCCAAGGAAAAGCATCGCAAACGCTGGGTCGATGTTCCCCTTCTTAGGGTCAGCAAGCTTACTCTGTTTAGGCCTTCCAAAAAGGTTGCCTGTGACCTCTTGAGACTAGACAGACGAAGAATTAAATTAATTGTTGAACTGATAACTGGTCATGGAAGATTCAGGAAACATCTACAACGGATGGGCTTATATGATGGTGAACCGATCTGTAGGTACTGTGATAGGTCAGAAGAGACAGCTGATCACTTACTCTTTGATTGTATTGAGCTCTCTGACGCTAGATCGATAACTCTTGGAAATATGGCTAGAGGTAGATTTCTTCCTGAGGATGAACTAATTGGGAAGCTACAGGCATTCATTGGGCGCCTCAACTTGTAGGTCAACAAGAAAGCAATTAAGTATCTGGGGTGCGCAATAATTCGATTTCGGATGAAGTGCTTTAAGGTCTCTACCTGCCCCTGTCAGATAAGATAAGATAAGATGGTAGCAGAAACCCGTGGTTCAAATTCACTAACTAATTTCATGTTTGTCTTGAGTCAATGTTAATTTATTTTGCAAAAGTTACTTTGTCAATGCATTGTATTAAATCAAAATCACTAAGGATGTCAACATATTTTTCTTCAGCTAAGTTAAGTGATGGGTTTAAAATATTGCAATTTATATCACCAGAGAAAATACGAACATACTCTGGATGGGAAGTGGAATTATAATATAAACACATTCAAAAAACAATTGAAGGTTAGAATTAGGGCTCCTGTAAGGCTAGTAATTCACAAGGTTGTCCGTCCCAGTCGAAGGTCAGAGATAAGGCAGTGGCCACGCCGCCCGATCAACAGCTGATTAAAGGTTGCAGATAAAGAGTTATCTAGATATACAACTACACCATTGCTTTGTACAACTACCCGGAATACTTTCTAAAAAAGAATCTGTTTTTAACCATGCCTCTGTTAGTACTATGCAATTAAAATGTGTTTTTATTCCTTGGAGAAACGCACAAAATTCGTCAAAATTTTTATTGTAGCTCCTTATATTCTGATGGATTATTCTAAACCTTAACCCGAAATTACTTTGAGATAAATCAAAACAAGAATTAAGAGTACTTATATCGGAGTAAACATTACATTCTTTAGTTGGAAATTCGTTATAATCTTCCTCGTTTAACATGTCCATACCCGGTCCCTATTGCAAAACCATCCAGCCTTATTAATTAATTTAACAGATCCAAAGTCGTGTTCCTTTTTGTTTATTACGAACCTAAATATTAATTATTATTCATATAGGAATGTTCTGCTATAAATACACTCATATACACACATATTTAATTAACATTTAAATCCTACAATGCCAAGGAGATTGGAAAATCACAAAAAATAATATTTCCGATAATTATAATTTTATCTTAGTCTTATCTAAAGACACATCCTTACCACATTCCTTTCATCAAGGTAAAATTACTACTAAAATGAAAATATAAAATGAAAATATACGCCAACATTTTTAAACAAGGTGGGCTTTAGTCTCTTATAAGGAAGGGTTATTGGCAAAATGTAATTGTTAGATAGAAGACCAACCTTAAATGATTTAAGATTTGAGACGTTATTTTTTGAAATTATTGTTGAGGGTTTTTTTTTTAAACATACTGATATTTTAAAAGTGGATGACAATTTAATAGAATGAAATAAATGAACAAATGAATGGCAAATGTTTCAGCTGATTTTAATATAGACATTTTGTCAAAATCACATGAAAGAGGATCATTTTTGAATTTATTGCGATCCTTTGACATGTATTGGTTGAATGAGGAACCGGCCAAGGGGGGGGGGGGAAATGCATAGATAATATTGTAAGTAATTTTGATAGAAAGAAAACAATTTGTTGTGTAATAGAACCTCATTTATCGGATCATGCGGGGGTATATGCTCAATTTAAAGAAAGTTCTGTGGAAAGTGTGATGCATAACAATGTTTTGACTAAGAAGGCAGAGAACTGACACCTGAAGCACTTTTCAATTTAAAAAGTAAATTGTCACAAATTGACTGGACGCAGTTATGTAGTATAAGAGATGTAAATATAGCTTTCAATCATTTTAATTTATTGTTGACAAATTCATATAATGAATGCTGTAGAGTTAAGGAAGTTAAGGTGAAAACTAGAAAAAAGCCTGACTTAAAATGGTATACACCAGAATTGAAGAGCTTTAAAGTGTATGTAAATGCTTTTTATGACAGATATAAAAATAGCTTGGGCACAGAAAATTAAAATATCTTCAAACAAAAATATATACATACAAAAAAAGGTACAAACACAAAGTTAACTATTGCAAAAAAGTTGCAAATGAAAAGTACATTTTAAATTCCTCAAATAAATGTAAAGCTGTGTGGGCTTTAATAAAAACTGAGTCAAATTGTAAGGTCACTAAGCAAGAAAATTTATTAATTGATTCACTGAGAAAAAAGGTTTTAAAGAAACATGCTTGCCTATTAATATATAGATAGATAGATAGATTGTTTGTTATGTAATTTTCTGGTGTTTTTGTATTTTGTTATTGTTTTTATCTATAAATATTCTATTTTTCAATGTACCTTTTACTTAGAATAGGCTATTTACATACATTATATGCTTGTGACTTTGTCAATTGCACACATGTGTTTAAAGACAATAAAAATCTTTGCCTTTGACAGTCAGCTATGGCTTAATGTTAAAGGCAGCTTGGTATGTTACAACTTAGACCAGAAACAAACACTATTGTGTGTCACAAGCTAACCCATAGAACTGATGATTTCAATTCATTCACTTAAATTTTTCCTGATTTATGTTTAATGAAGATGAACACATCCAACCAGAGTGGCATCTCATGCAATGGAAATCCCATTTCCGGTACCGGCATGGAATAAGAATATTTACTTTTCTTTAACTAAAACAATGCATTAGTCGAGGCGCTGAACGGGTTTGAGCATGCATAAAAGTGTAACGAAATTTGACTTTTGATTGTTGCTGTGCATACCTAGTAGATGAAGAAAATCGATGTTGTAACATTCCTAGGTTAATAACATAAGGGGGAGGGAGTGAAGTTGGGGGGGGGCGTACAAAATAGCTAATATTTCGAGAACCAAACGTCATATGAATTCGTTAGACATGTCAAACTGTACAGAAAAATGCTTTCTAAAAAACAAAAATATTATGTATTAGTATGACGAAAAACTATGAGATGTTAGTGAAAATTACATTTTTTGAATTTACGACAAGTTTAATTAGAAATTATGATTTTTGTTGTTATTTAGAACCACAATTTTGAAGAGTTGTATATAATAGGGAAATAATATTTCTGTAGAATAAAACTATTGCGATACATGTCCGACTGTGCAGAAAAATGCATTCTACAAAAATGATTATACATCAGTTGGTCAAAAAACAAGGAAATGTTATTCAAATATCTTTGAAACGGTTAGGTTTATGAAAAAAATCACAAGAATAAAATCGTCTTAAAATTACATTTTCTACCGAAATACATCATAAAATACAGGATGTTCCATAAGAAAAATCAATGTTGGCGGCCATATTGGAAAAATGGCTGCTAAAATAATTTTTTTTTACTTGACTACAATTTTTTTAATAAAATATCCATGGCACTTACCATATAACCTTTTTTTGATATCTCTTATAGTTTTCGAATAAAAAGGCTGGAACACTTATATCAATCACCCTGTAGTTCAAATTAGAAAAATACTGAGCAATAACCTAGGTTAGAAAGCCCACACAAACTACTTACAGTCACAACTACTCCAGTACATGGATAGTTGATCTTTAACCTAGTACACACATCGTGGGACATGCAAATCGCTCTCCAACCTGCTGGTTCTATATGATATTTCAAAAAAATGCTCCATTCCCTTTTCACATCAATGGCTTTCAAATCACTAGTTAAAATACAGTTATATTCATCCAACCTTTCCTGGAAACTCATTGAAAATACGAACAAATCCTGAGCCATCATGTTGCTGTAAGCATCAATTTTTAGTAACAACTAACAACTTAACAACTACATACAACTGAACTAACAACAATGCCTTCAACCAGTGTTGCCAATCCAATATGGCCCAATTACCCCCTCCAGAGCAAAGAATTACCTGTTTTCCTCAAAAATACCCTCAACAAACCAAAAATTCCCTTTTAACAGTCTTGCCTGTCTCTAAAAGTAACGAATACAAACCCTGATAAATTAGTTTTGAGTAATCCAGTAATCCCACAAATGAAGATGTAAAGAACTAAATATAGGACTTGAGACTTGTAATTATTGACCTTCATAAATGAAATTTTCATTCTTACTGACCTTAAAAAATTAATTACCTACAGTACTTAAGCCTACAATGATTTGGTTTTTTAATGGTAGCCTATGTGATATACACTGAGCTAAAATTATAACTGGAGGTAGCACTGCCATGGCAGAAGTCTGTCAAAAGCGTGTCGCTGATTTTGTTAGGTTGGTATAGCAGTTGGTTTTCTTATCAAGCAATAACATGGCTTCTTATAACTAGGTTGGTATAGCAGTGAGTTTTCTTGTCATATCAATAACATGGCTTCTTATGACACCCGCCTCACGCAAACATGGCGGCTGGCGACACGCATCTTTGACATTCAGTGCTACCTCCAGTTAGAATTATAGCTCAGTGGTGATATACTGTAGTTATTTAGTAATGAGTAAGTGCTGTTGAAAATTTAATTTTTTACTAGTTTTAGGAAGAAAATAGTTATAATGACCAATCAATATTATTATTCCCGCTATTTATATTTAAAATCGGAAAAAATTACTCAAGCTATCGTGTTCACGGACAAATATATAATTTAAACGAATGGTGTTTTTGGCCTCTGGGGACATCAAAATGAAAAAGTAAATCGGTCCCGGGCCTAGGTCTTACCATGCCCACCTACGGTAATAGCCAGAAGCGTTTATTATAATGGTTCGATTTGCGTTTTCAGTCTGCCCGTGCAGCTGAATCGACAGTCGATATCGACGCAACTTGGGAGGAAGTGGCACCACAACTAAGTTAAATGGTTAAATTTCGTTTAGCGAGTGGCCACGGCCGCCTTTAACTCCAGGCCGTGTTTAACACAGTATAGCCAAGGTCAGTGTGTAATAACTTTGTAATTTATTTATTTATTTATATCCTCTCAACGGTCACACCATTTTACAGCAAATACATGATTTGTTACATGTTGTATCAAATAGTCCACAAAATATTAAGCAACAGTAACTACTCTAACAATAAATAACAAATAATATAACAATAACAAAAGCGTAATAGCTATTTACCTTACAAGTGTAGTAAGAGCGTTTTTACATCACGCAGGTGAAGGTTGTGCAACGAGCGGAAGCGAGTTGCATAATTTACCTAAACACGCTCTTGCGTGTAACGTGTAACGTACAAGATTTTACCTGACCCGACAATATACAGGAGGTTACGAACAATATTAATCATTATCCATTTCACTCATCTTCTAACAGTAACGTTCATTTACAAACAAAAGCTAGGTTAGGAAAATTCTTCAAAACATAACAATAAAATTCAAGAGCACAGCTGATTTCTAGCGTTGTACGTCGTTGGCTCCATAGAGGTATATTTTTTAAGTTAATCACTCAATGTTATTTAAATGGGTTTCATTACATCACCGAGTGAGTTTTTGATACTTTACATCACTCGAGAAGTAAGGAAGTTGTATGTCACGCTTGGGATAGGGAAGTTTAACATGGCGGGTTAGGTAAAGAGATTTACCTAACCCACCATATTAAACTTCCCTATCCCAAGCGTGATGTATACAACTTCCTTACTTCTCGAGTGATGTAATGTATCAAAAACTCACTCGGTGATGTAAAGAAACCCATTTAAATAACATTGAGTGCTTAACTTAAAAAAATACCTCTATGGAGCCAACGACGTTCAACGCTAGAAATCAGCTGTGCGCTTGAATGTTATTGTTATACTTTAAAGTATTTTCCTAACCTAGCTTTTGTTTGTAAAAGAACGTTACTGTTAGAAGATGAGTGAAATTGATAATGAAAAAATATTGTACGTAACCCTATGTATATAGTCGGGTCAGGTAAAATCTTGTACGTTACACGTTACGCAAGAGCGTGTTTACATCACTTAAGTGAATTATGCAACTCGCTTCCGCTCGTTGCACAACATTTACCTGCGTGATGTAAAAACGCTCTTACTACACTTGTAATGTAAATAGCTATTGTACATTTAACAATAATAATATCTACAATTTTGACTAGATACAAGTACAAGTAAGTGTAAGTGCTTGACGTTACAAACATGGATGATATTGACCAACAAAACAATGAAGAAATGAAAAAAATAAATTGTAGGACACTTGATTATGTATGAAGCCTGACTACATTGAGAAACAAGAAACAGTCAATGACACAGGGATACAAAATAACAACAAAACAACAATATAATGATAACGATAATGACTAATGATTGCTATATAAATGTTCAACACACTTCCGCCTCACCTGAGGGAGCTAAATAATAATATCTGTAAAAGCTAGTGTGGTGAAAACTAAAGCAATACTATAGATAAAACATACTCCTCTACTAACCAAAACCAAACCATGTATAGTACATGGTATAGTCCTACATTGGACAAGAACCTGTAGCTTGATTTCCATATACATCACCATCATCAAGAGCAACATAATGCTTAATCTATGGTAAAATTGAGCTAGACAACACGGGTAGACGGAATGTGATGCGTGCCGAACCAAACTGATGGAAGCTTGAGCTGATCAGCTGGAGTGTAAGGTAATGACGATTGAACCTAACCTAAAACAACAAATCATCTAACATCTAACAGCTAAGCTAACCTAAAAAATCTGTGTCACTTTGTCAGCAAGTTTTAAATCAATCAAGAATAGAAAATGAGTAAATCTAGGGGAAAGAACGCGTTGGATTCTCTAAATAATGAGAACGTCTTGCAAGCTGTCGTCATAGTGGATACGTATTCCAGAAACTTGACTCCGTTTTGTAACTACATGCCAACTGTAAGTTGTTGACTAAGTTAGGCCTATCTTCTTACTTCCAAGTTAAACTCTGGAATTGCCAGTTAAATTCACCATAACGTCAGCCGGTTAATATGCAGTTATAGCCGAGGGAGCTTAGTTAATTTCCAAAATTAATAAAATCGTTGTTTTTATCACTAGGAGCGAGTGGCTCTTTTTGGTATGAAATCACGTTTTACCAAGTAGAATTAAGTAGTCTACCAATAAGACACATAAGTTCTGTGTGATGAACAACACTATTTTCATCATAGGCATACTGTACCTACTAATCGTTACAAAATTAGATCACATAATTTGAGGTTATACAAAGCCATCATCAATGTTTACATTTCTGTTGTTTACAAACATTTGAAACCCGACTAATACTTATTTGAAGTTATCTGAAAAGGATGATTCTGTGGACGAACTTTAGAAAATTTGAAACAGCTTTTTTCGGACAGTAACTTATGATAAAAATTATTAGTCCTATCTTAAAAATGTTATATTTACCTATTTATTATACAAATAAATTGTTTTCATTTGGAGAAGTAGCCTAGCCTCTGGATCCTTGGTAATTAAACATTGTTATAATCTAAGGCTTACCTTACGATCCAATTGATTCATTGTGAAGACCTAAGTTTCTACGCCGGAGCGTTATCGTCAGTCCTAGGCTAAGCTAAACTTGTTTTTCATCTTTTGAGATATTGTTGGTTGAATAGAATTTATACAAATACAAACACTGAATATATACATAAATATTTAACTTACAAAGATATGCATGGCCATGATCTTTTTGATCCTAACCTCCAAAGCTATCTCGCCTTAACTTTGGAGGTTAGGATCGAAAAGATCATGGCCATGCATCTAAATTCTCCACTATATCTTTGTAAATATTTATGTATATTCAGTGTTTGTATTTGTATAAATTTTATTCAACCAACAATATATCAAGTAAGAGATAAAAAAAAAGTTTAGCTTAGCCTAGGACTGACGATAACGCTCCGGCGTAGAAACCTAGGTCTCCACAATAAATCAATTGGATCGTAAGGTAAGCCTCAGATAATAACAAATAAATTGTAACTTATGGGTCATATACACGATAGGCCCTAAATGATATACCTGTAAAATAAGACTACAGTTCTGCACGGAACCTGCAATTTTATTACCGGATTATACATCCTCTTGCCCTCATGTGCTTAGTTACAACGCTCATGGCTTGGAGTAAGACTCTGTGCCATGTGCGATAGAAATTTCCGCACAGTGCTCGTTGCTCAGGCTCTTCCTTGCTCGTCAGTCATCAAATAGTTATTTGTGTAACTAGTGGTGAAAGTGGCACTTTGCTGCACACGAGAGCAATGTTTACGCACGAGCCGCAGGCGAGTGCGGAATGATCTCGAGTGCAGCAAAGGCCTTTTTCACTCGTGTTACACATTATATTTTTCCTACAGTCACTATAAAACATAAATAATTAGTCTTTCAAACACTATACAACACGTTTTTAGGTTCAGCTAGCAACACAATTACACAAATGGTGCCCTGGAGAAAGTAGTACCCGTGGTCCGTATCACTCCGCTATTTTTCCTCGGCAAGAAATGTGCTCCGTCTTTTGAGAATATAGTTCCGTATGTTTTTGTAATTTGAAGTGGTTTCCGCGCCTAAAAAAAATGCTTTAAAGGTATTTTCTTGTTTATTAAGACCGTAGGAATGTTTTAAAAACGTTTAAAAGAAAAGTCCAGAAAGTTCAGAAATACCAAAACTATAAACACGAAATGACAGGTTAAATCGTAGTTATAATAGTCAATCAGCTGTTCATAGTATTATTATCTTTAAGTGTTGCCAACCTATTTCCAAGCGTACACGGATTACGTGCATAATAAAACCACGCTGTTTTGTGTCGTTTGGTTGGAATCCTGATGTGCGGCAAAGTATAAACCGTGCGGCAAAGTATAAACCGTGCGGCAAAGTATAAACCGTACGGCAAAGTATAAATATGCAGCAATTAGCAGCTTTCTGTACTATAAACAGTACAGGAAAGCCAACTTTGTCGGGTGACTGTAGGAAAAGTATATTTCCACCCCAACGTACCAGAGCTGAAAGCGCAAGTTTGTCCCATAAGCTTGTTTCCTCTGTAGGTAACTTACCATACCATACTTCTCTGTAGGTTAAGTTACACAGTGATTTGTATTATTGATACATAATCTAAATGCAAGTTACTATAGGCCTAAGGCCTTCAGAAGTTATTGTATTCACTAATCTATCTATATATTAATAGGCAAGCATGTTTCTTTAAAACCTTTTTTCTCAGCTCGTGTGCATCGTAGGGAAAATCTACGCATACTGTTAGAAAGCTATTTTCCTGTAGGTGTGCAGAATCCATTTATAAATTAAAATAGGCTCAAAAATAAGCACAAAAAATGAATTTAAATTTTTTAAAAATTTAACATGGATATTATGAGTTGCCATGCTGGTGACGAAATAACAACGAAATATAAACAGAAAATCAAAACAAATGGAAGAAACTCCAATCACATGTTCTATTCAAAGTGTGGAATGAAAATAAAGAAGTCTGTACATTAAATATTTTTGGTCGAGTTTCGACCACTGGACGACCTCTAGTAATATTTAATAGGCAAGCATTGTTCATTAACATACCTCAGCTGTTCATATGACCTAAAGTGAATCAATATATCTTAGCTAACTTTTTGATTAATAGAAGGTCAGTTAACTTCTCATGAAAATGGGGCAATTCCCTTTATTTTGTCAGATTTGTTTGAATGGCGGGATGGCTTCAATTTTTTTATGATTCCCTTTTTTTAATATGGCCAACAACTTCAATATTTCTTATCACTCTGCATGTTATGATTGTTTTAGTACAGTAGGCCTAAGAGCGATTCAAAACCGTTAATTTTTGAATACATTCTGCACCCTGTAGCTCATAAACGAGTAAGTTAGAAGAGGAAATTTGCAAAGAATGAATAAGTCTTAAATTAAACAGTATCTAATATCTAAATACAGTAGCTTGAATAAATTTTAAAAAAAGGTTTTAAAATAGGCCTACATTAAAAAATATCCAACATATTTAAGTTAAGTAATGCCGTAATGCCGGTTACAGTTTGTTTTGGATCTTAGCACAAATAAAATAACGGTGGTGTTTGTCAGTAGGCTACATAAAATATTCTGTGTAAAAAATACTAATCATCCCTTTTGTACTTTGCAGAGTCTCGTCCCACTGACTAATCGTCCGCTCTTAGATTACACTTTGGAATGTCTCATGTCTTCAGGAGTGCAGGAAGTAATATTATTCTGTTCATCATTTGCAGATCAAGTTCGGGACTTTGTAAGGTAGGCATAAGACTTTGAATGTTAGAATAAATGAAATAATGTAGATATTTGTTAAACTACGACAACATGCTACAAAGTACAGTACTAATTATTTTCAATGCATTGACCTACTATTATTTTCTTTTCTCAGGGAAGACAAATGGCCTGGCCTGTCAGTCAGTGTCGTTGTTTCAGAAGGTTGTCGAACCTTTGGAGATGTCATGAGGGATCTTGATGCTAAGGCTTTGATTCGCAGTGATTTTATACTTCTCACCGGGAATATGGTTGGGAATTTGCAACTCCTCCCAATCCTTGAAACACACAAGTAAGAATTATTGCGTTGGTGTTATATTTTAAATTAAGATAAACTAAATATTTTCTCCCTCTGCGAGTGAAAATGGTAGTTACAAATTGCTACATCAATGTTTTTATGAATGTGTATCAAATAGTATGATAACATATATCATGATAGCATATATATTCTGCGTATATCTTTTTGTTAATAGCATAGAATTTATGCATAAGAAATACCGGTAGGCTTAGATAAATATTATTGTAAATACCGTACAATCTTTCAGACGTATTCAAAAGGTGGACAAAGGATCCGTCATGACTCTCATTTTCAAAGAACACGGCCATAGAAGTACAGCTACAGAAGACGATTTCACCGTTGCTCTGAACACCAAAACAAACCGAGTTTTGTTATACAGCAAGAAAAGCAGAAACCCAAGAAAAATAGAAATCCCAATGGTTAGTAAAACTTATTTATTACTTCTAACATTTTTCTATTGTGCATTGTCTTTTCACCCTCCTTTCATCATTCTCAGTAGGCTTTACGCATACTACATGACGCAAGATGGACTCTTTTCTGTACTTATTCTGCAGTTATACAGTCATCACACCTGCAAAGGTTTGTATTATTTTAAATAAAAACCATCTTTTTACCGGTGCATAAATTGAAGCTCTTTAAGCTCTGTAGGTGTCCAAGGGGCAACTGATATTTATGATTTTCCAATGTTTGATAAAGGTAGTCCAGTTGTCACTAGTTTTGACTGTGGTTTCTCCTACATAAATAGCCAATACAGCCTATTTGAACAGTAAAGGCCCAGTTTCCTTGCTGCCAAGTTTGGTTGCTGAATATGGCTGTATCACCAAATCAAACACAAGTGTCCGGTAGTTGTGACTTATATTGAGTTATTGCAACTGTTATGACCCATCAACCTGGTCAGCAACAAGAACTAAGGAATGAAATAGAATTTTAGACATTAGCGCATTCTATGACTGGCCCACACAACTCTGTTCTTTTTTAATAAAAAATTGGCTATATAGCTGGTCCATATAGATGGGAAGTCTACTTCAGTATCCAACAGTCAATGGTTCTAGAACAATGAAACTGGAACTAGTTGTAGGACATGAGTTTGTGTATGTTGCCCATTAATATTTTACTTATGTCCGAAAAAGAGGCAAATTCAGGACACTATACTGACATATAAACCAACATCGCAGTTGAATATTGCAGTTCTAGGAAATTACTTTTGCCAAAAAACGCATTAGGTAGATACCCACGACATTCACAATTCCGCAGCCGTATTCATCAGTAGTTAAAACCCCTGTATTAAATTCTGTAGCCTATATGTCACATGCATTTTTATTGAGTAAGATCCGTCCTGCAGGAGACAGTGCTGGAGACGTCAGAGATGACGCTACGAAGTGACTTGTTGGACACCCAGGTGTGTGTCTGCTCAGTCGCAGTTCCTCCGTTGTTCTCGGACAACTTTGACTTTCAGTCCAAGGATGACTTTGTGCGTGGTCTGCTTGTCAATGAGGAAATCCTCGCCAGTTCTATCTACGCTTACATTCTGCCGGGCAGTCAGTACGCTGCAACTGTCAACTCCTGGGCTCACTACCAGGACATCACGTTAGTATCAACAATTGATTTCAGTTATAATTTTATTTCCGCCTTCCCAACCAGGTGGCTATGTTCTAGTCTGTTTTCACATTACTTCAGTCTAGGCCTAGAGAGTTGTGGCATTATCCCTTGACAAATCCATTGGTGGTGTGGAAATTTTAACCAGGGGCCTCAGCTGTACCACTCAACCATCTGGCTTCTCAGTTTGGGTTGTTGTAATTACTGTAATAAACAGTTATAGGCCTACTTATATAAGAACATTTTTTTTATTGGAATGAAATTTTTAACTTAATCCATAAAATATTTACAGTCTTAAAATACTTCTAGCTAAATTGTTAGTTTTTTTAAAAATATATAATGTTCTGAGAGTTAAAATGGTTTATTTGTTTGATTTTTTTTTCAACGTTATATCTTGTTTGCATTAAACTTTGTAACTTAACTTTTGGAAAACATCTTCTATCCAAACAAGCCGACTGTATGATTACTATGCTAAATGCGACATATGGGATGACTTAGTTCCGCACTAAGCTCATCACCAGAGTTCCCTCTGAAGGCCCATGAGGATGGTCAAAGTTAAAATATCCCGCCAACATCATTAAAAGAAATCCCTCTGATAATTTTTATTGTATCCAGGCCATGGAGAATGAATTTTAACAAAGTTGTCCATAGCAATCTAAAACTATTTATCAACGATTTCTGAGGCTTTTGCTAAATTTTACCATGAAAGGTCTTCTACCAGCTTATATAGCTAATACGGTAAAATGTTGTTAAGAGTGCATATGGTTTAACTTACCACACTAATTCTATTGATATTTTACAGGCATGATGTGATCCATAGATGGGTTTACCCTCTCGTGCCTGATATGTTAACTGACGATCCGTACTTCTTCAGAAGAAATAATATTTACATCCAACGAGATATAACGCTGTCTCAGTAAGTGTTTAAATAATATGTAGTTTAAATAATGGTTAAACAAATCAACCTACTCTCTGGTGAAAAACCCGACAGTTCAAACAATCAAAAAGGTAAAATATGATTTGATAATTTATCAATTATTTGAGGCAGCAACACACTCTTGGGTTCATACTTTCATCTGAATATGAATACAATGTGAGTGTAGAGTTGTGAGAAGATTCGTGGAGCTTTGTTACTGACTAAAACCAGCTGTTTCATCAGTCAAGATCATTATTAAAAATGATTAAAAACAACTGGGCCCAGTTTCGAAGCACATTAGAAAAAAAGGTATGAAAGCTGATGTAATTACATACAAATTACTGTAAATGAAACTTTTTAAAATCTTTTCTAGAGGTTGTAAGTTAGAGGAAGATGTTGTGATCGGAAGCGAATCATCAGTTGGACAAAATGCCATCATCGCTCGATCAGTAATTGGGAAAAACTGCAAAATTGGGAACAACGTTGTAATCGAGAGCTCTTACATCATGGATCATGTTAAGATTCAAGTAAGTTCAAATGGAAGTTTACATCAAGTACAGCACAAGTAAAATATATAACAATAATGTACTATACTTGAACTAATGGTGGACCTTAAAACTAAAAAGTTAATCGGTCCCGAGTCCGAATAGCTTATTCTCTGCACGGTAAATTTGCCATATATTCCCTACATGTGAAATTCACCTGAGATGATTGCATCAAAGCAAAGCATTGTTACAGCGATACTAATGTTACAGCCAATCTAGTCATCATTAATTTTGAGCGTTTGTAAGTGGTTCATGAGCTAAGAGTTATTATAAACTCAAATCCTTAGTTAGTACTTGGTTACGCTTTTTTAAGCTCGACACATCAGATTTTGTGTCATCTGAGGAAGGTTGAAAATGTTGATAACTTCTTCCTTAGTTAAAAATGATGTTAGTGACAGTTGAAATATTGTAATGTTTTTCATATCGTGTGTCGGTTTGGACTTTTTCCCCATTCAAATAAGCTATACTTTAGAACCATGGGAAGGTCACAGACAGATCAATGCAGATTTTGTGAAAACATTGTCGAAATCTAAACACTTAAGGCTGGACTGTCCGGCTTTGGCCCAAAAAATGTTGAAATCTATGGGACTGAAGCAACTGGAACCTGAAGAGATGACAAATGTCAGTCTGACCAGAGGGGTACTACAAAAGTCAAAAGGCCGAAGTAGCTAGGGATACAATTACCCAAACTCCCCCCACACAATAAAACCTGGTTTCCTCACAAAAAATCCTATAGGCCTAGGCCTATTCAAACTTATTTTGAATTTGTTAATGTGACTTAGGTTCTTCAGGTGCTGAACCTTAATAGACTAAGCCAATTAAGATTAATAATGTTGATTGGAGAAAATATTTAATTGACGTTTAATCTGTTTGCAGGACAATGTTAGTGTGAGTTACTCGGTTGTTGGTCCGCGATGTGAGCTCCAATCAGGAGCCAGTGTTACCAACGGAAGTGTTCTTGGGTCGGAGGTCATCATCGACAGCAACAAACAGATTTGTGCTCTCAAGCTGCAGTCCTACCCTTCAGATTGTAAGCTAAGTGATGCACCTAGTTGAAGGTTGGATAAAAATAAAGTCTGAAGCTGAAGTAAAAGATATAACAATGGGATTTTATTTTAATTTGTTAACACTTAACTATTTTATGCTGTTTTCATTTTGTTATTTTTTCCCTAAAATTCGTTTAAAGTTTTGTAAATATTAACTGTTATTAAATCTCTATAACCTACTTTCAAAATTAGTTAGCTACTTCTACATGACAGTAGATTTTTTAAAGCTCATTAAAGATCTAAACAACCTTTTGTTTACATAACTCTTTTTAATGTGTCATAAAAGTTTTAATAATACTATAGAACTCTAATCATTCAACTCCAACAATCCGAATCACCAATTATCCAAATTGCTAACAGAAATAATTTAAACATTCTTAAACCACATTAATAAGGCTCATTTCTAAAGAAGACACAAGTCGTGATTACGTCAAAATTCACAATCTCACTTACGGTCTAGTCGACATCATCATCGTCTCCTGCTGTCACAAAAAGATCATCATTGTTTTACAAGTAAAAAAGAACTAAGGGCATTGAACTATCAGTAATCCCTGTTTATGATTGCAGCATGCGGTCAGGTGGGATCCAAGGCCTTCTTGTGTGACGACTCAGCAGACGACGACTCAGATTCCGACTCTGACACTCGGGAGGCAGTTGCTGGACTGAGAGTGGGGAGAGGAGAGACACACTACGAGAGTGACTACACTGAGTCATCTGACAGTGATGATGAGATGACTCACAGCTTGTCTGTACCTGAGGATACTAACTGTGAGTATGACCATAGACTAGTAGAATAAATATAGACTGTCAAAGGAAGGTTCCGCAATATGCCGCTAGAGCGTGCTCGATGTTAGATTCGTTGCCGTCATCGGCTCTTCGCCATGTGCTACTAGCAGACGCTGCAGCGGTGTCGCCGTAACTACACGGCACTCCTAGCGGTGGACGCCAGAACATATCCTAACCGCAGCACTGCTGTCGGTGTATATTTAATTCATTTTGTCTATGGTATGACACAACAGTACATGGTGTTGAGTGCTTGAGAGACACTACCAGAGAGACTACACGAGTCATCCGTCAGTGATGATGAGATGACACACAGCTTGTCTGTACCTGAGGATACTAACTGAAAATTGTTTAAAGGTGGTAAAATAATAAGAAACTAATCTTAAACAATAAAACGCTTTAAAAATGAACTAACCAGAGCCAACCATAAAATTTTCCGCATTGTCCTAAATTGTCAGTTGCTAATTGTCTTCTTTAAATTGGCTGATCCATGAGAATAATACATTTATTAAAAAGTAAAAGATGTAAGATAGAGCTCAAGGGCCTAGGGTTTTAGGATACTTTGAGAGGATAGCAGGCTTACCTGAATGGGAAAGAGTCGAAACTGGCTCAAGAAACACAAAACTTCACTATATACACAAAAGTTAGAATATTTCACTGGTACTGACAGCATTTTCAACTCAGGAAGAGAGAGTTTTCATTAGGTCCCAATATGGTTGGCCAGTGAGTTGCTGAGACAGTGTTGCCAATATGTTTAGTATAAATAGAAAAAATTGAAAAAACACAATTTCAGTTGATATTTTAGTTAATCTTTTAATAATTATTAACAAGTAAGTTTTTAATCTATGCTTATAAGTGCCATAGCAAACCTGACATGTTTTTTTTTTTAGGTTAATGTAAAAGAATATGTTCCTGCATTTTTTGTCAGCTGGTTAAGTTTATTGTGGTAAAATAAAAATATTAACTTACAGTTCCAAAATTGATAGAAAAAATTGCTTGTGTTTTGATTGTAACTTTTAGTTTGTCTTCTTTTGTCTAGAATATTGCAGTTTGTTTGGTTACTAAATTGGTATTACCTTTGGTGCTCAGATTAAAAAAAAATTAAGTAAGATTTCTAAAGAGACAATTAGGTGCTTCTTTATTGCAGTATAAGGTACAATAAAATATGCATTATCAAAGTGACAGTTTTACCAATAGATGGTACAATTCTGACGAATTCAGCTCTAACCAAAGACGAAACGTAAATTGTGCTTTACCACGAACCGTTGGTGATGATAGAATAAAATTTAAAGACGCAATATTGGATGGTTTTGAATCATTTGTTGAAAAGTTAGGTTATTATGAAGAGCAGACGAAAGAAACAATTATTGATGGGTTTGAAGCATTAATCCATGATATACAAAATAGAGGTGCTAAGCCTGCAAATGAATTTTACAGTTATAATGTCAAAGATAATATAGTCGATAATTTTGAAAATATTGTCGATAATTTTAAAAAAATTAGTTCATTTGCCAGACGGAAAATTAAAATTAGAGAATTTAGGGAAAATGCCATAGACAACTTTGAAGAATTTGTAGAAAAATTTAAAAGGCTTGGTTTAGTAACATCAAACAAGTTTAGAAAGGTAAAATCAAGACGAGAAAATTTGAGGGATGGGGCTGTTGATAGTTTTGAGCGGTTTGTAGAAAAAAGTAAACAAATGGGCCAGCAGACTGCATATCAAATTGAAAAACTGGATTCTTTGAAGGAAAAGATGATTGACGGTTTTGAAAATATGATACACAAGTTAAACTCGAAAACACAAGACGTAGAAGACTTTATGTGCTACACAGATAATATCAAAGAGGGTTTTGTTGGTAGGTTTGAAGATTTGATGCAGAGTATGAGGGAAACTATTGTGAATTTGGAAGATAATGTCAAAACAATTACAGAAGAAAATAAAGCAAACATCATTGATGATTTTAGAGAACTGGTCGATAAGATGAGATATTTTGGGGAAACCATTGTGCAAAGAGCAAATGATCAAGTAACGAAAGCAGGTTGCGTAAAAGAGGAAATCATCGATAGTTTTGAAGATTTGATAGCCAGAATGAATAGTTTTGGTTGTCAAACAACAGGAAACGTTAGAAACAAATTGGATTGTATCAAAGAAGAAGTGGTCGGTGACTTTGAAGATCTTGTCCAAAATTTCAACGCAAACTTGAATTGTGTTGAAAATAATTTGATGGGCTACTCCAATGAAAATAAAGCCTTTTTCGTTCAACAGTTTGAGAACATTTTTGATGATCTCAAAGACGAAATAAACCAGATTGAATGTAACGTAGGAGAAATGTTGGATGGATTTTTCCTGGACTTCCAAGAATTTTTTGACGATACTAAATGGATGATAGAGTACAGGGCTGATCAGGTGTTTGCAAACGCTGATTGTGTTTTGCAAGGGTTCGTCGGGCAGATGGACAATGCTTTTGCTCGAGGAAAATGTGAAATTGAAACGGAACTATATTCAGCCAAATATTGGCTACTCATGAGCGAAATGTTGGTCAAGGACTTTCTCTGCTATAGTGAAAGAATGGTCGAAGAGTTCTGCATGTTTTCGGAAAAACGTGTTGCATGCTTTTTTTGCAATGGGAAACAGAAGGTGAAAGGTACCTATTTGCTGTTTGTTTTTTTCTTGATTTTTTACTCCCGTCTTGACCGGTATTGTTTTTTACATCACTTTAGGCAAAGAATGTACCAGTTACAGCATTACCACTTAGATAAAATCCATAGGTGATTGGATTTGAACCTAGCGTCTCGGGGACCAAATTTAACGCTCTACCATTATAACTGCATGCTCCTTAGCTTTTGATTTTAGATACTTTCAAAGTTTGAGCTCCTTTATAATCATTGGCTAGCATAAATACATTTTCTTAAACTTTTATTCAAACAGTTTGTAGGTATATATTTTTGTGATCTATTGCCAATATATTGTGATCTAGACGGTTCTAACTTTGTGTAATGTTTGCAGTGTTCTACACAGAGGTGGTGGACTCGCTAGTCCGAGGATTCGAGGACAAATTGTTATGTGATAATCTTGTGCTGGAGATAAACTCTTCTAGATATGCCTACAATGTCACCATGAGTGAGGTAAAAGTAGTTAACTATATATTTATTTGGAATAATTGTAACATATTTGTTGATTTTTTTACGAACATAATGTCAGTAGTCATCCAAATTGAGGCAAAATCTAAATAGGTAACTAGGCATCATCCAGGTCAGGAACCAGAAATTCTTTGTGTATAAAATTGTTCTTGAGTTTTGAGAACCAGAAAAAAGACCTTGAATCAGTGTTGTATTTGGCTGGGACACTTAATGATCGTTGCCAATAGCTTACAAACAAGGTTTCCACTCATTGACGGCGCTTCAATGGCGATTGTGTAAAGTGTAAAGTAAAAAAATCACAAATGCAGTGGATGATTGTAACGGAGGTTTACGGATGATGCTAAACTCGCTTTTCCAATTTGTCACTTTCTGTTCCTACTCACCGTGTAATGCAATCGCTGGATCATACAGCAAATAGGCCGAAAGCCCATCTCTTGGGTACGTACGCCTACCTATTTATTCATCTAACAACCTTTTCGACGACGATCCTTTGATACCAGTACTTTTCCATAGAATACATGGCCTACCTACTTTAAGAAATAAAATTACAACTGTCCAAAACCCAACATTGTGTGATTTTTGTCACATTCAACGATTCAACTGACTACTATAAGATCCCCGTACGTAGAACGGGCACACAGCTAGTTTATAAATAAAAATCTTTTTAAAATACCACATTTTTAAATGCACTAAAAAGTAGATAATACTTCATAAATATGTGAAGAGAATAAATACTTGTATCTTGTAAGATTTTAAACGAAAAACGTGGGGCGTATGCAATAGCTAATTTACAATTATATTAAACCTGTTGAACTATTATCAACCATGGAATGCGCCCTACGTTTTTTGTTTTAAATCTTACAAGAATTCATTCTCTCCACATATTTATGAATTATTTTCTACTTTTTAGTGTGTATAAAATCGTAGTCTTTTACACAGTTTTATTCATAAATTACTAGCAGAGTACCCGTCCTTCATACGGGGTTGGCAAATAAGTATAAAATGCTTATTGCAGTTATACTCGATCTTTGCGTTTGCAATGTGAGAAGACACGGTTTGAGAAAATTGTCTTCATCAAATTTACGGTATGCTATAGTATTACACATCTACCATAGCCATAATGTTCTACCACTTCACCTATTGTGAGAGATAGATTATTAAAAATTCGCAAAATATCACAAACTATTCCTGAAATTAAAAACATAAACACAACTGTAAACAATCCTACATTGACAGTTCTCATTGCGTATCACAGTTTTTTGTTGCTGCTTAGTTCAAATTAGCTGTTTTTATGAAAATAATGAAAAAAATAATGTGCTGCACCCTGTTGGTAAATCTTGTAAATTTTTAATGCTTTTGCATATCTTAGAACCAACTCTTTTAGTTGAAACAGCTGGCTAAATTATTTAATTCCCTTTAAATATGAATATTCATAAGGTTAACATGGGAAACTGCAGAGCCACTGGGGCGGAGCCCGAAAGGATTTTTGAGCTAAAAATATGCCTATATGTTAATCGGGAATGTGAACTATCATGATGCCAAATTTCAGCCCAATCCGACCAGTATTTTTCGCGTTTACTTGTCACAAACATACATCCATACATCCAAACTTTCTCATCTATATATAACTAGCTGTAACCCGCGGGCTTTGCCCCGTTTAACTTCTTAATTTTCAAGATTATCTCGTTCGCATGGCTCAATCACATCCTGGTTGAAGTTTGTTCGCTACGCTCACTCACCTTTAGGTTGGAGCGCGTTCGCTACGCTCACTCACCTTTAGGTTGGAGCTCGTTCGCTACGCTCACTCACCTTTAGGTTGGAGCTCGTTCGCTACGCTCACTTGCCTTCAGGTTAGCTCGTTCGCTACGCTAACTCGCCTCCAGGTTGAAGTTCGTTCGCTACGCTCACTCACCTTTTGGTTGCAAATTAGCTGTTGTCATAAATGTAAAAGAAATAATAGTGCTGCACCCTGTTGGTAATTTTTGTAACTTTAATGCTATTGAACATCACAGAACAGAACCAACTTGTTTAATTGAAACAGCTGTTAAGATTCAATAATTTCATTTCTCATAAGGTTAACATGGGAAACTCCAGAGCCACTGGGGCGGAGCCCGAAAGGATTTTTGAAATAAGAATATGCCTATATGTTAATCGGGAATGTGAGCTATCATCATGCCAAATTTCAGCCCAATCCGACCAGTATTTTTCGCGTTCACTTGTCACAAACATACATCCATACATCCATCCATCCAAACTTTCTTATTTATAATATTAGTAGGATATATATATAATACGTTAAGCCGATTTTTGTAAACATAACTCCTCCCTCATTTTTGGACCGATTTTAATGATTAAAGTGTAAAAAAATTGCTCTAATCTGTAGTTTAGTTTTGCAAAGTGTTTTTCATTTTGTGAAATCTTTATTAGTTAGGGCAGGATTTTCCATCAAAGTTGGGTTTTCTCCCATAAGATTAACATGGGCGGATCTAAATATTTAATTGGAAACTTTGTCTCCACTAATTTGAGAGAACGGCTGGGCGTAGAAACTTGGTAGTGGTGTCCAAAGAAATTTCTTGGTCTGTAGATGAGTTTTCAAAAGAAAAACTAAGTAAATTCCCTTAGGGCTCTGCCCCAGAATCCTTTAAAGATCCCTCCACAGATTTGTTTACATATTGCCATGCGGATAATACTTTTCAATGAAACAGCTGTTAATTTTTTAGTTGTATTTTAAACAACACATAATTATTGGGAGAATAATAGAGATCGATGATTGGGATCATAACCAAAACCTTTTTAACTGTAATCACTTTAGAATCTTTCGGGAGCTGAACCTGTACCTCAACCTCTGCTTTTCGAACAAACTATCAAATTAGTATTTACAGCTGACTTCAATTGATATATTTACATTCTTTAAAAATGTAAACATTGAAACTTTGGCAGCCCATGGGGCGTAGCCCAAGGGAAATATGAAAATAAAATGATTTAATATTATATTGTCATCCACTTGTGAGCTATGATTCAAGTTTCAAGTCTCTAGCTCATTGGGAAGTTAGTTAATAATGGATTGCAAAATTTTTACCAAACAGACAAGAAAGCGAGCTAATAAAAACATTTTAATAACCTATTTCCGAACAGGATTTGTAAATAATTATTACATTTAATCTGGATAAATGCAGTGGTAGTAAATAAACAGAAAATGTCTCAATTTCAATATTTTTTCGTCATACTGCAGCAAAAACAGCCGTTTTCAATGCATACGTTGTATGTACCGGTAGTGGTATTCTTACTCTCTAGGTAGTAAAAATCAGCTGTTGTAAACAGATTTAAATTTCGATTGTGGCAATCTTATCCATCAAAATTATTTAACAATTGATTTATTAGGTAAGGTTTTAGCCTATTGTTGTTGACTGCTCGACATATCGATTGTATAACAAAACCATAATAGGTAAAATAATTGAATCACTTACTAAACAGCTACTAATTTGCATTAGCAGAATTGAAAACAAGCTGGAAGTTGTTTTGAGAGGGTATCTTTACATAACAATTATTTTCTTTTCTAGCTTTGTTTTTGTTAATTAATTATGCAGTATGACGAAAAATGTAGTACACCACACGGGCAAAAAGTGACTTTTTAACCCTCACTCATTTTCTGGCCTCGGCGTACAACTGGACCTGGGGTCAAAAAGAGTCACTTTAGGCCCTAGTGATGAAATTTACTATTCTCTGAGGCTGCCAACGTTTTCAGGTGAACTTCCATGTAGTCCGAGCGTTGCTGACGCTTCCTGCACCTGACGGACATTCGTGGCAACACCTTGTCACTCGACTCACCTATTTCATGCCCATCTTGACCAACTACATCCGATCACAAACTGCACAGAAAGACTGCCTGCTTGCTATTGAGGTTAGTTTTGAGCAGTGCTTGATTTGCGGCAGAACGGAATTCAAATACGTTTCTTTCAATTTCTCCTCAATAAAAAACAAATAAAAGCATGTCCTCATCGTAATGTTTCTCTCAGTAATGTGGCTTTACTGCAATGTTTAGGATGTTGCTGGTAGTAATCCGGAAATATTTGCGGTCCTTGTGAAGATAATCCACTGGCTGTATGAGCAGGATATTCTATCCGAGGATAATATTTTGAACTGGTACAAGAATCCGAGTGTTGATGCAGACCCCGAGAACAGTAAGAGAGTGCGACAACAGGTAAATACTTACTAATAGGTAAATAAATCAAGACATTGAGAGAAGTAGGTAAAAACTATATCTCATGTGAGTAAAGAGTTACAGGCACCTCAAAATTTCACAATTCCCTGAAACAGAATTAGTAGAACAGAGGCAAAAATATGATGTGTTTGAGGTGAATTACTTATTATTTCTGTATTGTGAAATTTGTCTACTATCAACTGCATGGAACTCTTTTTAGATGCATCATTTGCATATCCGTCCCTTCTGTCCTGTTGTATTCCTTTCTAAATGTTTTTTCCTTTGAGCCTCTAAAAAACTAAAATTGTACTAAATTACCATACACACCTTATTTCTTAGATAAAGTTTTATAACATTATCCTCAGATGATATCTTTTAGTAATGAACAAAACATCAAAAACACAGTATAAGGCTTTGTTTTGTTAGTTGTTATACTGTAATATTTAAGTAAAAAAGTATACTAAAGTAAAGTCGAAAAAGGCAAACTTGTTTAGTCTACTACCAATTATTAATATTATATGTTGCATTCTTGACTAGGTAGAAAGTCCTTCGTCATTAGAAGTGTTTGAAAATAAAAAAAACTAACTTTTTGCCTCCAATATTGATTTATTGTGACATTTTTAATTCAAGCTCCTGCACCTTTAGATCAATCCAAACACTTACAATAATTGCAATTTTCTGCCTTGGACAGTTTTTCTTTTCTCCACATGATCGTATTTATTTATCTAATTTACTGTCCTTATTCCATTTCCAGGTGGCTCCTTTTATCCGGTGGTTGGAAGAAGCAGAAGAAGACGAAGATGACGATGACGATATTGATTAAAGTATATATATTGATCTTGTATATTACATTATTTCTTAGAGTATTTAGAATAACTCTGTTCATTTAAATATGTCAGTGTCAGAAGTTACGGTACTTACGTATTATACGGAGGCCACTTATTTTACAGCGCGCTGCGGCGGTTGGGTTAAGTTGGGTTATCATAAATATGTTTGTAGAACTTTCCTAGTTTCGTTATGAATCGAACTATACGAGATGAGTCATAAAAACTTATGATAACCCAACCTAACCTAACCGCCGCAGCGCGCTGTAAAATAAGTGGCCTCTGTATAATACGTAAGTACCGAAGTTACATATTAAGAAGTATCCTGTATACAAAATAATCTTGGTTATTTATAAGGAAATGCTCCTCTTGTATTATTGTTTTCTATTGTATCACTGCAGTAAAATTCAAATTTCTTACTATGACACTGTGATATTATTATTGTACTTGATTATCATGGTTGCTTGAGAGCTGCTTGTTTTTTACTTTGTATGTTTTAAAGAGAACTTATTATACACATTTATTGTATTTAAGTGATGGTACAATATATAAATTCTATGAATCTAAAAATGTCAAATAAAGTTATTTTCAGAAAAAAGTGTATACATCATTTCACCTAGCATGAAACCAATTTAGATATGTTGTAAAATCTCCCTTCCTCCAGGCAGAAAATGGTAAGTACTTCAGTAGGCTAACCAATCAAATTCATCATACTTCTTCTAGGCTTCACAAAAAATTGGACATTGGTCATCTAACAATACTAAACAAGTCAGCAATGGTGACTTTAACTCTATTCCAACCTCTTAATACAAAAATCTACCATTTGCTTTTTTGAGCCTATCATGCTGAAAGAAATCTTATTGGTTAAGTCAACAATGATGGATGCTATTCTATTCTAGCCTCCTGATACCACAATCTGCCATTTGCTCTTTTAAGCCAATCAAGAAGGCAGAAAATATTAGAAATCTTATTGGTCGAGTCAACAATGATGGCTGCTATTCCATTCTAGCCTCCTGATACCAAAATCTGCCATTTGCTCTTTTAAGCCAATCAAGGTGGCAGAAAATAATAGAAATCTTATTGGTTGAGTCAACAATTAATGGCTGCTACTCTATTATAGCATTCTGATACAAAAAGGATAGCGCTGGGTTCACAACGATATGGTAGGCATACGGTTAAGTATCGATCGTCGTAGTATGAAAACAGCTACTATCGAATATCGTAAATCGATTGGCTTCCATAGCGCCAACCAACCAACCAAAACGTAAACAAACCAGTTTAGCTGCTAACTCATGTTTTCCAATTTTTATTTTATTAATAAAAATGTAATCGTATTTAATTATTAATTGTTTAATGTAAAACAGATTGTAAATAAACTTTGTTAAAAAAAAACCAAACCAACCAACACCGACACTCGACAGACAGAAGAGAGAAGACAAGAGATTACAAAAACTACTAGCACTAGCCTAAAAGGAGAGGAAAATATTTGATTAAATTTATTCCAACATTGTTCCTTTTGATCAGTTTCATGGTGCATAGTGCATTATTATGGAGGAAATATGCAAAGGTCATCTAAACGCTTTTAAAAGTAAGGGGGTGGTAATTTATCTGGCGTTAATTGCGCAAGTTACTGGAATATTAATTTTAAAATTCCTCCGTAATTTAAGTTCTTATATATTTATCATGCTGGTTATCAGCCTTACTGTAATTGGATAATAAACATTTTCATTGGCAAATTTTATGCCAGGTTCAGATATTATGTTGTACTTATTTATTTGCATTCACTCTCACTGTAATATTGTGAATAAAATTATGGCCTTCCGTCGTCAAGGCCACATTATGACGTTTGACGACAGACATAGGAGCTATAGGAGCAGCTGCAGCAGAAGGCACCAAGGCAATAGTTTACTATTACTATTCCACCATGATGAGTATGAGACAGCCGGTGCGGTGAGCCAGAGAGCCGATGCCGATACTAAAAGTCGATGTCTGTCATCCGGTAGAAAACAAGCTCGATATTTAACCGAATGCCTACCATATCGTTGTGAACCCAGCGCTATCCATACAAAAATCGGGCACTTATTTTTTTTATGTAGTAACCTGAGTCAACAATAATGGCTCCTACTCTATCCTGGCCTCCGGATACGAAATTGACCACTTTTGACCAAAAAGTATCAGGCTGGCAGAACTTGGTAGGAACCCTACTAGTGAGTCAACAATAATGGCTCCTACTCTATTCTGGCCTCCGGATACGAAATTGGCCACTTTTCACCAAAAATATGGCAATTTATGTTTTGGGACTACCAGGGTGGCAGAACTTGGTAGGAACCTTGCTGGTCGAGTCAGCAATAATGGCTCCTACTCTATTCTGGCCTCCGGATACGAAATTGGCCACTTTTCACCAAATTATGTTTTGAAGCTACCAGGGTGGCAGAACTTGGTAGGAACATTACTAGTCAAGTCAACAATTAATTTCTATTCACCAAAATCCGCCATTTGCTTTTTTGAACCAATCAGGAGGGTGGATATATTAAAATTATTCTTACTGGTTGAGACAACACCAAAATCCGCCATTTGCTTTTTGGGCCAATCAAGAAGGTGGATATATTAGAATTCTTACTGGTTAAGACAGCATTGGGCTGCAAGTGGATTTCCACCCTCCTGATAACGAAATTCACCATTTGCTTTTTTGAGCCAATCAATGTGTCTGGAAATATAAAATCTTACTGGTTGAGTCAACAATGGCTAACTTAAATTTTTGTGAGCAAAGTCACGATGGGGTAAGCTAGTATTACTATACTGAATGCATTGGGGGTATAAGGAAGTTAAGTAAATGTGATATTATAACTATTTAATAATTTATTTTTTTTCCTTTAATAAAATAATATAATGAGCTTTACCTTACATTACATCATGATTATATATATACATTAATGGGTGATCGTACAATTATCAACATCCTCAAATATTAACATTACATGCTTAGAAACACTGACTGTAATAGATAACATTTCATTATTTGGCATTTTTATACTAGATACAAAAATAGAAAACTTCTAAACAAAGTTTATGATTCTAAAGGCTTTTGGTCTTCTCGATTGATAGCTTTATGGTCCAACCAATGGCTTTTACTGTGTTATAATCTTAAAAAGCTTAAATGTCAAAACAGAATGGAACTCGCCAAATAAATTTATTGTATAAGTTATCTGCTTTAAGTTTCCCAAGAAATCATATTCGATCGCAAGGTTTTGTAGGTTCATACTCATTCAGAAAACAGTTTTACACATTATAAGACGGCAGATGCCGATTAAAAGCATTTACGAATGGCCTAAAATATCACAGAGTTTTATTAACACTAAATTGTTTTTACATTATACAATTGTGTGGTATAAAAATGTGTAATATAAAAGCACTCAAGTTCTGCTTTAGATCGTGAAAGAAAATTTACCCAAAGCAGAAACTCATCATTTAAAAACGGAAATTAATTTAAAAATTTTCTAAAATCTAAAACTTTTAGGTTTTATTCCTAACAAGTTGGTTCTAAAAGTATTTAATGATGTTATCGTAGTGATATAATTATTTATAAAATATCCTTTACAGTAGATAAAAAAATGAGATACATATAAACAAGTAGGATTACATTAAATACAGTAAGTACAAGAATTTAATGCCCATTTACTACAGGCGACTTTGGTTCCGGTTCTTTGAGTGCGGTTTGCGACTCCCACTTGCTCTTATGTTGGCTGGAGCCGAACCCTTCGTCGTAGTTACCCTTGGATATGAACAGCTGTTTGAAGTGTGTCAGGCAATACAGGGTGTCGTTGTTCAGCGTGTAAGTCTCCATTCTAATAAACAGATTGAAAATTAGTAGGCAAAAGTGTAAAGGCAACTAAACTAACATTAACACCGATTCTTCCGTTTTTTTACACTAGCAAAACACACCTTCATTTCTCTTGAGCAAGTGCATTGGACAAATTGCAAACCAAGTATTTGAATAGATTGTAATAATTACAATACCTGAATAAATCTGACGGATGCAAGTTTAACCGAGAACATGCAATGGAAGATTCCTCCCAAAACCACTATACACTTAAAACCACTCATAAATCCAGCACGTTCATTGTGGTGCTGGGTTATTGAAAATGCCGGATTACTGAATTTCTTCTAAAAACAGCTGTTATTGTCTGAACCCGCTAAATTTAGAGTGTCAAAAGGAAATCCATTGCTTTATTCTGTGTTTAATTGTGATTTCACTTAATTTTAGTAGTGATGACATTTTAAAATGATAAAACAAAACGCTCCCAAATTATATTGAGTTAACCATCGTTTGCAGATCGCCGACTCTTCCAAATATGGTTTAAAAGAGCATTCAAGTAAAAGTGTGTAGACTTTTATACACTGATGCAGGATTATTGAAAGTGCTAAACCATTAGATGACTTTTAGTTTTAATGTAATCAGTAGAGATGAATTATAAAGAACCTATGAAGGACCATCATCTCAAGTAGTTAGGATTAAAGTTAACATTACTTGAATCTACCTAGGAGAATGTCGTGCCTGACACAATCAAAGGCATTAGACAAATATGTGACATTCTCTTGAAGAAATTGAGATTGTATTATTATATTGGATATCTGGTTATCTTTTTTTGGTTTTCTAGTTACATCACGAACAAATATCAGCAGGTTGTCATCAAAGATAAATCCTGTGTCAAACATTTTTCTGAATTGAGCTCAGTAACCCATGGTGTTCCGCAGGGATCTAAATTAGTGCCTCTTCTATTTATCCTCTACATCAATGACTTGTCTTTTTCACTTTTGTCCAAAATTGTTCAATTCCCTGATGATACAACAATGCTAGTAAGAGCACTTTCCATTTTTCTGGAACTAACATTACAACCAGAGATTTAGATTCCATGATAACTTGGTTTGCACAAAACGGACTACATCTGTGATTTGTCACAAAAAACACCAAAAGCTCTCTGCGACCTGTCCAAGGCTACACTGCCTCAGAAACTGCATCACTTTACATACATTGGTGTTTTTGCTGGATTTGAACCCGGGACTGAAGTCCTGCGCTCTAATCCCTAGACTAGCTCGCTCCCCCTCTACTGTAGTAAACTACTCCAATTAAGTGTTAAAGTGCACCTTAATTTGCAATGGCATTGCTGACATCGGAAGCAATTGGCATGGTAGACTCTTCCATTGACACTGATCTCCTCCAACGGATAGACGGTCTTGACGCAGGAAACGCAGGATTTGTTGATAGCAGGAGTCTCCTGTACCTGTTTTGAAATCAAATATTTTTTGAATAAGACCCAACAGAGTGAAGGAAATACAGGATGATTGGCACTCAGTGTGACATTTTTTTTTTCAGTTTTAACAAAAATACAACTTTTGTTTAGTACATGCTTTCTATGTTTTTAATGATAAAGTAAAGACACCATGTTTTGTAGTCTTCAAACCACTAAAGCGTACATACGCAGACATAAAGCTCAATGATGTATTGTAGCATATGGTTGGAAAGCTTATAAAATGGCGCAGTTTTTACCGTAT